GTGGGAGAGGCCAGTCGATGTGCCGGGAGACTAGAGATGTTCCATCAACAAGAGTGGAGACCAGTGAATGTTTGGAAACATAACTGGGACATGAACTCAGGTCCTGCAGTTTGTGCTGGACTGGACTGTGGTTCTGCTGTTTCAGAAAGAAAAACAATGGAAGCTTCAGGAAGACCAGTTTGGTTGATCTGGTCTGAATGTTTTCAGTCAGGATCTGCATTAAAAAACTGTTTACCTGATAATAAAACCAATGATCAGAGCCATGAGTTCATCTGCTCAGGTAAATCTGAACTCATATTTATATATTTTAAAATGTTTCTTCCATCAGGTTCCAGATGTTTAGAAACTAAAACTGGTTTAAATATTACTGACTTTACTGAATCATAAAGTTGTTAGTAATCATGTAGAAACATGCTAGTGACCATGGTAACCAGTCTATGATCAGCCATCTTGTTTTCCACCTCAGATCAGATCCAGTTGTCTCTGTGTTTCCTCTGCGTTGCCAGGTCTGCTGGTTGAGCCGCTCATCTTCCTCTCTTCCTCCACTGACGGGGTCTCCACAGGCAGAAAGCAGGGGTCTGAGCTCCTCATTGGCTCAGAGTTCAGCATCATGTGCTCCATCAGGCCTCAGTATGCAGGCGGCTCCTTCCAGCTCATCTTCAGCACCTCTAACTACACTCAGAACCAGACCCTGCCAGCTGTTAATCACTCCGCCCTCTTCCTGTTCGCTGCTGCTGGCCACGCCCACCAAGGAACCTACCGCTGCCTTTACCACGTCTACGTTTTCTCCCATAACTTCTGGTCTATGAGCCAGCCTCTCAACCTCACTGTCTCAGATAAACTCATGGAGTCCATCAGGAGAAGTTCTGCTTCAGGTGAACCAGCAGCTGTCTGCCTCATTCATGAGGTCAGAGAGGAGGATTGATTATATTAATGTTCATGATCTACAGGCAGCATGAAAACCAGGGTCTATGTGATTATTGTTCATTTCTAGCTGGACTCATCTGATGAAAGCTGATCCTGAATCTGTTTCATTCATTTTCAGCCCATCTCACTGCTTTGATCATCAGACTGGTTGTCGTCCTGCTGGGAATGCTGGGAATGCTGGGATCCGTCCTGCTCCTCAACTATAAGGTACTGCATGTATCATGCATGATGTGTTGAGTTGGGAAAGTTGTTGCCTTGCAGCTGAACCATCCTCTGTTTCCAGGCCAGGAGAAACCAGAAGTCTGGACCAGAAAACATCATGATGAACGTTCTTGATGAAGGATCCAGAGCTGAAGGCGGCTTAGAGGAGGAGGCTGCAGTCTGAAGGAACCAGGAGAAAATCATCTTGGTTTCACATCCACAGGAAGGAGCAGAGACACGTTTCAGACTCCTGGGAATCTGTCCGTCTATGTATCTATAATAAAATGTCTCTGAGCTCCTGCAGCAGGAAGGAAGTTCAACATTCAGAAATTTGCATCTGGACTAAACCTACAGAAGTAAAACTTATATAAGAAGGGAAAAGAAAACATCCACCAAACAAAATATAACAAAAACCCACTTGATCAAAATCTGATCAACAACCTTGCAAGGATAGCATATGATAGGACATTTGGGGTCAAAGGTTAGGCAGCCATTTCCATTCAGGCCCTGGATCCAGCTTGTGTCCTTGTCTTGGTTGGGGTTATGAAGCTATGGCAAGCCGTTTCAACATAAATTTGGTTTCGTCTGACTATCCGTAATTAAGTTCTAGATATCTAAAAATGCATTTTGACTATCCGGAATAATAATTCTAGATATCTGCATTTACATTCTGACTGGAGAGAATAATAATTCAAGATATCTTTAATTACATTCTGACTGATCAAAATTCATTTCAAGATATCTCAAATTGCGTCAGTGGATCTGTAATTTGATGAGACATGAATCCGGAATTACGATTTCAGATATCTGAATTAAGAATGACGGAAAAGACCCTTTGTGGTGTCCAAACAGTTGCCTGCATTATTTTATATTTCCTGCACAAAATTGTCCATAAATGCCACAAATTAGAAAAAGCTCAGCAATGTTGGAAATGTGGAGAACATAAAACTTCATAAACTATAAGACTGCTAATGATATCTGCAAAAAAATCCTGTGTATTTATTTCCGACGAACCAAATTCACTTAAAAACAGCTTTGAAAAGCTAAAATTGCTGTCAATCCATTTTCAAACAACTTTTTTCATTTTTTGTGTTTTTTATTGTTTCATTAAACTTTCAAATTTCCACGTAAATCAGTGACATTTTGACTAGACCGAATGTTCATTTTATATATTTTAAATAGAAAAGTTGAATAATTCAAGATTTCTCTAATTTATTTACTTGTAAGATATCTAGAATTTAATTTCCTCTAGTCAAAACGACATTTCTCCTATCCAAAAATACATTTAAGATATCTTGAATTATGGACTAAATAGAGATATCTTTGATTTGAATTATGACTAGTCAAAACTACAATCCAGATATCTTGAATTTACTTTCTGACTAGTCATAATTAAATTGTAGAGATCTGAAATGTGTATTTCAGATAGTCAGTAATTCATTGTAAATATCTTGAATTGAAGTCTCCATACATCTCAAAGGTAAATCTGACATAATTTCTTCTAGTCAAAATATAATTAGAGATTTCTTAAATTGCTAAAACGTCTAGTCATAAAACAATTTGAGATATTTGGAATTAAAGGCTGGAAAACTGAATCTTCTTTAGCTGTTTCTCTGAACTGTGTATTATTATAAAGTTGTAGAATATTTTCTTTTTTGCATTCTTATGACATCCTTAAATGTTTAATATGCTTTATGAAAGAAAATGCGTTTGCTTGCAGTCTGTTTTGTAGCTCAGTAGATTGTTAAACTGTGAGGATGGAATGAAACCTTTCCTATCAAACAGTTTGCTGTGTTTTGCTCGAGGCTCTTTCTCCTGACTGTGTTCAGTGAGCAGAGACTCCAAATGCTGTAAAGCCTTCAAATAAATATTGACAAAGAATTGATATATTCTCCCTGGTTTTTGATCGTTTTTCCTCAGTCTGTTAAAGATCATTTCAACCCCAAACAGGATCCAATGAGGTTGAGGGCAACAGGAGATCAGATGCATCGACCAGCCTAAGTAGTTAAACTTCAGTCCACTTCCTGGGTCAGGTGTGGGCAACTCCAGGCCTCCAGGGTCTCCTGCAACTTTTAGAGTATCTCTACTTCAACACCTGAGTCAAATAATGAGGTCATTAGCAGGATTCTGGAGAACTTGCCTGCACTTAGGAGGTGATTGGCCCATTGGATCAAAGTGTGTTGGGTGATGTCTAAGAGTTGCAGGACACCGGCCCTCCAGGACCAGGACTGCTCATCATGTCCTAGTTCAGACCTGGGCATCTTACGGCCTGCGGGCCACATCCGGCCCTTTGTGAGTCCCTATCCGGCCCGCGTGAGGCCAATCATAAATTACAAAATACATTTTAAAAAGTATCTATGTCGAGTGTGCAATACAACGGTGCCGCTTTTGTTTTGAAAAGCGTTATTTGCATTACTTCCGTGGACGTATGCTCATGCATGATTGTGAGTTAAGGTCAACAGCAGCAATCACAAATTACAAAATAAATTTTAATAAACATCTATGTTGTGCGTGCAATACAACTGTTCTGCTTTTATTTTGAAAACTTATTTATGGACGTATGTCTGTGCATAACTTGTGAGTGACAAGTGATGCTTGGTTAGCCCCAAGATGTCCGCTCACGCTAAAAAAAAGAAAAGTTGATGAGGAATGCCGTGTTTTCAATAAGACATGGACTGCCAACTATTTCTTTACAGAAATTAAATGTAAAGCCGTGTGCTTAATTTGTGGTACACAGATTGCTGTGTTTAAAGATTATAATTTGAATCGCCACTACACGACGAAGCTCGAGCCGACACACCGGAACCTGTCTGATGAAGAGCGCGCGAGGAAGCCTGATGCATTGACGGTAAAACTGCAAACCCAACAAGGACTTTTTACCAAACTCCATACATTCAGAGATGCAGCCGTCAGGACAAGTTTTGTAATTTCTCACAAAATCACCAGAAAAAGTAAGGCGTTTTCTGACGGAGAATTTATTAAAGAGTGCTTATTGGACTCTGTCGCGCTGATATGCCCGGAGAAGAAAGGTGCATTTGAGAACGTGTCGCTCATCGCTGGAAACCTGGAGCTTCAGCTGAAGAACAGACTAAGTAGTTAAACTTCAGTCCACTTAGAAATACTCATAAAGCTGCAAAATCTGTTAAAAACTGTGAGCTACACTGAGGCAAGTAAAAGAGACAAGTTCAAAGACATGCCGAGAATAAAAAATCCTTCCTAAACATGAAGATATATTACTGATTTCACAAGAAAATAGAAACTGGAGGCCGCGGATACTATAGGAAATAGCGCCCCCTTCACTTCCGGAGTGCAATGGTTCCATTTCCAAATAAGGTATGTGACAGACAGCGGTGCATCCCCGCCCCTCTCCGTTCAATACCTGGTTTTTGACTTGCTGGAACTTCATGAAGCTGGAAGTTTAAAGGAATAGAACCGAAACCAGAAACTTTGGCATGTTTCTGTTCAGTTCGAGCTCATTTTACTAGCAGTGTTCCTTCATTCGGGCCACGGCTTTCAGGTAAGTTCTCTTCCTGTGCTCTCATAACTGCCCTTCATTTTAAACGAGTTTCCCTGTGGACGTGGACGCCTCTTCTCTTGCTTTTCTTTTTAAAAAGCATACAAAGTGGGTAAGAAATTACTCATTTTAACGATATTATTTGTTTCTTTTATGTCATAAATTATAAATTGTCCTGTGGTTAATGTATTGACTGACGCCATTAGGTAACAGTATTGGTGGTTTTATACTGAAGTCCGACGGAAATGCCTTTTTTTGTGAGATGGCGTAATCATTCAGGAATTACTGTTCTGCGAATGACATCATATCCAACTCTTTTTCTGGAACAGTGACGATTTAACGGTTTTATAAACAATATTCATATTAACACTGATGCTGTTCCTTGTATAGGATGAGGAAGTGTCACCTTAGCTGGTTTTGTAAAGGAAAAACTCATCTGGTGAAATGTTACGCAACTAAACTCCATTACCCAGAATGCCTTTCGACAGCCAGCCTCCAACTGTAAAGCGACTGGCGTGAAACTCAAATCCCGGGCGGGAGCTTGCCGTTTTAGTTCCAGTCGACTCCGCGCTCCGGCACAGTTTGAACGTTTTTCCACCCCCAAAAGAATCCCCATTTAAATTCCCTTTCATTTTTTTTTATCTTTGGTTACATAAAAGCGAAGTTTCCCCGGTCGTCCTTTTAGCGAAGTGAAAAATCGCGACGAGTTTAAAAGTTAAACGGCAGCAACGAAACTCGCCGAGGGAGGAGAGAACTACTCAAACAGGTCGGTTTAACTGTCTTTTTAAACTGCTTTACATGTTCACAGCTGGGGTTTCCGGCCACTTAAAGTGGTAATTTCTAAATAAAATGTTAAAGTTGTTAGTTTAAATGCTGCTATGAAGCGTTTAGCCGGTTAACTTTTTTCCCTCCCACACGATGAACCAAACGTTACATCAGCAACCATCTTGTGTCTCAAAGCAGGAGCTCACAGAGGGTCAGAAATGTCTCTAAAAACCCAAATAAAACAAAAACAAACGTGATTAAACCACAATTTATAATCTGAACTGTTTCTGCTAGCAATCCTTTTCAATTCTGAACTTTAGGTTTTACCTGTAATTAGATATAATGTTTGGTAAACTTTCACTTATTTGACACTTTTCAAATTAAATGATCACAACCATTAAAGTGTTTCCGAATTAGCTTATATTTGTCCTGAAACTTGAAAACCTTAAGAAAAACGAGACATGAAGAATGTTGATTAGGAAGAAACCAACAGATGACTAATTTCTGTCCTCCATTAGGTTGATGGCATTATTTAAAAATAAGAACATGTGATACTCTACACCAATTGTTTTATTTCCTCCATTCATCTGCCCTGAGAAGAGGGTTTTTATTTTATTTGTTATAAAACAGTGTTCAGTCTTAAAGTGTTTGATTTGATTGTTTTTCAATTTTTCTAAGCAAAAAGCAAATAAAATCAGAAAACCCAAATTTAGTATATTTGGGTTTTTGGGTATATTCTTATTGTCCTGTGGTTAATGTATTGACTGACGCCATTAGGTAACAGAATTTATAAAAAATTTAAAGCTTTTCCCATCGATTTTATGTTAAGGAAATGATATTTCTGATCTTAAATGGCAAATTCAGAATCTTTTTTTGATCCCTTTCAGTTTCTGTTAGTGGATTAAGTTTTCCTGACACCAGAAACAAAACAAAAAACAGCTTTACTTCAGAATCCCAAAGGCATTTTCAGCTCAAACACCCAAAATATCACAAAAGCTGATGGAAAAATCTGAATACATTTAGTCTAGAAAACCAAGAAATGCTAACATGGAAAATTAGCATGTTATAAAAAGGGTGTAATGATAAAAAAAAGCAAATTTTTGTTTTCACAATTGGAGACAAATGAATATTTTCTGAAAACCTGTATTCAGTTGCGTCCTCAGGTGCTGGTGTCCCACATGTTTTCCAGGTTCGACAGGCCTGGCTCAATTAAAGGCTCCTGCACATTTTAACCATTTGAAAACATGCTAGGGACCGGTTCTGTTGGACTGGATTTCAACAGCCCTGCTGTCATCAGAAACTCCAGTCCAGGTTTAACAGTTTATTTAGACACAGACCTGCAGCTTTTGTCAAAGTGAGATCTCTTGTTTTACAAACCAGCTTTGTTGCTCTTCTTGAAAGAAACTAAAATTTTTGGCAGATTTGATGTTGTGATCATGTTATTCATAGGTGTAATTGATCATTTAAACATTCGTCAGATAATTTGGTAATCAGGTAATCAAACCAAAAAGACAGTTTGTTAATTATAAACCAAAACAGGTCATGTGATATATTTCTATATTTATAGCTCCATTGAAATTAAAAACACTTTAATCTGCAAATGTGTTTTAGCCAAAACTCCTCATGTGTAAAGTTTTAATAAGTTGAGAAGCTGTCTTGTTGAATTTTAGGAAAGATGTTTTTTGTGTAAATAAGCTGAAGTAGTAAAATGAAAATTACGATAGTTGGAAATATTATCATTAACCACAATAACTTCTGGGACAAATTAGGCCTGAAGTGATCGCGGTGAATTTCTTATTGTGTCAGGTCTAGTTGGATCTTGAACCGTTTCTGCTTTCCTCCGCAGCGTGAAGATGATTCTGAAAGGTCAGAAACGGAAACTGGACCCGGAGGACGTGGAGGCGTCGGACCGCAGCAGCCCGACGTGGGAGAGCCAGCGGCAGTTCGTCTTCTCCATGTCACTGAACAAGTACCAGCGCGGCCAGGAGCTGCCGGAGCCCAGCCTGCGCCGCTCGGTTCTGATCGCCAACACGCTGCGCCAGATCGCTCTGGAGAAACACGGCGAGTCGCCACCGGACTCTGCCTTAATGTCCGGAGAACCTGTGGCTCCGCCCACAAACCGCGGCCCATCAGAGGACGAGGACTGGGGGTCAGCGGAGTCCGACTTCTCCCTTTCAGCCGCCATTTCCTCCATCCTCACTGCGCTGGACTCCACCATTGACGGCGGCCCGCAGGCAGCTCTGCGGACGCCTCTCCGGGCCCTGGAGAACCTCCCAGAGAGCGCCGGCGACGCGGCGAAACCCGGCTATGTGAACGACGTCAATATGGCGGATCTGTTCCAGGAAGTAGACGCGTCCCTGCTGGGAAGAGTCGGCTCCCCGGCCGAAGAGGAGCTGATCTGCTACCTGCCGCCGTTCTCCTCCGCCTCCTCCAACTTCAGGTGTTTGCCTTCGTTCTCCTCCTTCAGTCCGCTCTCGTCCTCTTCCTCGCCTGACTCCGCCTCCTTCTCTGGTCCTAATCAAAACAGGGAAGCGTTTGAGCTGGAGCACCTGATGGAGATCTTGGTGGAGTCTTGACGGCTTTCTCTAAAATAAACAACAAAAAAACTATCATAAGTCAGTGGACTGAATTCAGATGAAAAGAAATGCTTATTTTTTTACATTTTCTACACGAACTCAAAGAATAGTGCATTATGGGGTTTAGAAAGTCAGGAATGCAAATGAAACGTAAAAACAGGGCAGGAGGAACTTCAGCAGCTTTTGGTTTAAAAATAAAACGCAGTCACAGTAAAATCTGTTTGCAGAAGGAGCCGCTGCAGGTTTACGTCTCTAAAGCCTGAGCAGTTCCAGGGCCGGACCAGAAGGTGGCGCCAGATGTCGGTTCTGATCATGTGGCTGAAACACTAACATTACGGCTCGGATCTTCTGTGAAGAAGTCGGGAAGTTTTGTGTTTTGGGAATATTTCAGCTGTTTTTTCCTAAACATGTCAGGCGTCTGTTACATTCAGTTCCTGTAGGAGTTCAACTTGAAGTTGTTTTGTCTTTTCAAAGTCTTTTTAATTCAAAGAGCAATCACAGCACTGTATTTAACACACTGCTTCCTCATTGGATGATGGTCGGCGCCCAGCAGCAAAGTTTCAGCCATATTGGCTCTGAGAATCCAAGCGGTGCCGACAGGTTTTTATATGGTTTACATTACATATTTGCACTTTTGTCAATAACACACATTTGCCTCAACCATGTTAGTATTTTCAATTGGCAGTGTCGAAACAAAAAGTCCTGTTTTTGTTCTTCAATGTTCTGTTATCGTTGGGCATTTCATATTTAATTGTTGAGCATTTAAATGGTTTGAAGAAACAGGAACGTCTGAAGTTTTAGCTGTTCTGCAGACTATAAACAGTTTTTGTTGCAAACAAAATGTTTCATTTAAAGTTGTATCATATGGACAAATCACTAATAATGTATTAATGTACCACCTTATAAACTTTTTAAAATTTTGATGTACTTTCAATTTTGTTTTTATTTGTGCTTTTATTGTTTTATAGCCCTTTAGTTTTAGAAATACAGACGTTCTTAATAAAATGTCTGAGTGCAAATTGTGATTTTTAAACATTTAGCAGTTGGAAGCAACTTCAAACCGTTTTAAATGAGATTCTTGTTGGAGTAGGGGACATGATCCTTTAACGCTGATAACACAGCATCCAAAACTAGAGGTTATGATTATCCAGACAGTTGAAAAATAGTTTACAAAGTTGCTCCAATTTGCTGCAACCACAGCAGCGCGATTCCAAGACTAAATCTGCATTTATAAAACTGATTGTAGCTACATTTCTAAATCCTGTTACCAGACATTATGCGTCAGACATTAGGTCTCATTTAGCCCTAGATTTGCCATTCATCCTGGTATCTTCCAGTTTTCTTAAAGGTTTCAGTTTCCATGGCAGAGAATTGATGTGAAGTTCCTCCATTACAGTAAACAGTTCCTGCTCAGGGGTTCAGTGGTTAAAGCACGACTTGCTGTTGAAACGTTGTGGTTCAGGGCGTCGCTTCCTCCTGTCCCACCTGCGATGCAGCTGGTGAGGAATCTGCATGAATCATGACGTTTGTGCAGCACAGCAGAAATGATACGTTGCTGCAGATAGAAGAACCAGGCGGGTGGTGAGTTTCACCTCCACTTCAATAAAACAATCTTTGTGCTCCGCTGGTCATGAGACGACGATGGCATGGAAACGACTGCTTCTTGTGTCAGACCCAGTTTCACGGTCCAGTAATGTCATTCTGCAAAGCCGCAAGGCTTTTAATCAAAGATCCTTTTCAATCCATTTTTATCCTCAGTGCAGCAAACAAGAAACTTCTGGAGAATCAGGCCATTTTCAAAGAGCCGACAGGATCTCGTTCCTTTGGTTCCAAAGTCTCTTTCCGTCAGTCGCTTGAATCCAAGGTTTCGTTCCTTCGGTCGTTTGGATCCAACCTTTCACATTTTAGTAACAGTATGAATGGCAAAAATAAAAAAGTTGAGAATCAAGACCTGTTGTTTGAACATAATCCTCTGCATCCGATTCAGCAACGCGTCTTCCGTCCTGCAGAACTGTTCAATCGAGACAATAAAACGTCAATGTTAGTCTGCTACTAAAACATGACAAGGATCCTCATTTTCAAGTTCATTCAGAAAGTATTTAACAGACTAGACAGGAGCAGACTTAAGGAAAAACACATTTATTTAAATATGACTAAGGCACAAGCTAAATTATTACAAAACAGTCATTATTTCAGCACCACAACATCTGCATTGATTTCACTTATTAAAGTGCATTTCAAGTATTTAAACTGAATTATACCGAACCAGCCATGGATGACTTCAGCCTCTTCATTCCCTGTGTTGAAACCTTTTGCAACAGTTTTGAATGAATCCCACGAACATGAATTACAACAAGACGCAAACAGTAACAGCGCCCCCTTCTGTTTTCTACCACCATGTACTGGGACCATTGTAAAAAAAAAAAAAAAAATTAATTTCTGGCAAAAATAACCCAAATTTTGAGATTGATATCAAATTTTCTGGAAAAAAAAACGGACATTTAAATCTGAAAAGTCGAATTTAAATATTTCTGAGCTGAAACTGATAATTTGTTAGAATAACTCAAATTTTGAGGTCTCAGAAAAATTTCATCTTCAGCAGCTCAAATTTCCAAAATGAGTTCTTTCTCACGAACGCTCGACTTCAAACTCAAATGTTCAAGTTTTCTAAAAGAAATTTGGAGATTAATCTCAAAATGTAATATTTGGTTTTGGCAGAAATTCCCTTCCACCCCCATCTACAGAGCAACCATCATAGCATGTTGGTTGCACTGAAGATCTGACGCTCCAGTCACATGATGAGCAATCCGGCATTCATTTAGTCCAAAGGTCAAACGGACGGCCGTCGGTTCCAGGGATCCGGATGTACGTGATGCTAAAATAAAAACGTTACTCGTTAGTTCTGTATTAGAAATCCAAACTTGACAAAAACGTGAACAAATGGACCAAACAGAGTTAGTTAAAAAGCTGCAGACCGACCCAAGTCTTGTGCCCATTTAGACTGTAAACATCAACACCAGTGTTGAAGACGTATAAACAGCTTCCTGTGCTTTTTACCAAGTGTTTCTGTTCCAACTTTGGCTTTAACACTTCAAATCCACCAACAGGCTGAACCATAAAGCTCATGTCAATTCCTCTGGAAGGAAATTAAAACAAGAGTTCAGATTCAGCCCAGCAGTTCTCCAGAGGTAAATCCTTTCCCCCCGCCGCCGCCTCAGCCTTTGTTGATGGAGTTGTACGACGGTTGGGATCCCGGATCCAGAGGTTTGGTGGCGGCCTTGTGTTTCGGGCGAGGCAGAGTCGGGTCGTTGCTGATGATCGGCTCCGTGTCGCCGTCCAGCAGAGACGCCTCGCAGCGCGGCAGCTGGAAGAACGTGGTCAGGCCGTGGACGTCGGCCATCTTGTGGAAGGTCCGCAGTAGGAGGTACATCATCATCAGACCAATGAACAGGTAGACTGGAAAACCCAAAACAGAAAAAGTCTTCACTGGGTCTCACCTGAAAAAATCTGATATTACTGGCCAAAATATGTTGTTTAAAGGGGCAGTGTTGTGTTTTTATAGCAAAATAAATTGCCTTCAGTTATAAAATAATGTTCATCAAATATGACTTAAGAAATTTGGCTTTGTAATTTAACGCTTTGAAATTGGGCCTCTGTCTCTTTAAGAAGCTCCTGCTCTTTCTGAAACTCCACCTACAGGAAGTCATCCCAACATGGCTCCCATATTAACCCTTTAACAACATTCTTACCAGCGTTTCACTGAGCAGCAGCTTCTATAAGCAGCTCAGCAGTTCGACTAGGCGCTTGCTAATTGCTGCTGGCTAGTCTGAAGGAGCCGAGTGGGGGAGCCCCTGTGGAGGGGGTTGCTCTGTGAGGCAGAAGCTTGGAAACTGCAGCTCAGAGGAGGAGGTTTGTGCTTGAAGGCGGGGCTAGGGCCAACCAGGCATTTTGCACAGCTCAGTGGTTGCCATGGAAACATGTTAGCCTAACGCTAGCGGGAGAAACGGCTCATGGCGTTTTACCAACGACAAAGAAGAAATCCTACAACCGCTAAAATCTGGCGCACATTCCATAAAAAAGTTGCTCTCAGTGCCTTTGTCTCATTTGCTTCAGTGGTTTTTCGGTACAGCGCCCCCACAGGCCAGGAGGGGAACAGCTTATTCAAAGTATTTGCTTCGTTTGACTGGGTGTAGTAGCAATTAAAACGTCAACTTAATTTGTCATGTTCTTGAGAAATTAAGTGCATGTTTAAAAACTTTCTATTAAAATCTAGAATCTTAGGAAACACTCCAAACTCTTAAAAAAAAAATCTCAATTGGTCCTTTTTACTAGTTTTAAACAGATTTGCTTTAACAGCATACATATATCCTGCTCTCATTTTTTTCCTCCCTAAAAGAAGAAAAGAGTTTTTCCTCCATCACTCCATCTTCCTGGAAAACAGGGGAGGATTAAATTACTCAGAAACCGAAGAATCAATCTACTTTGTTGTAAAGGATTCCAGAAACGATACAGCAGCTGATAAGTTTCAGCACTTTGACTGTTCAAACTCCACGACTCGTCCTAAAAATATTTACTCAGCAGCAAAACCCAAACAGCCGTTCAGGAGTTTTAAAATTCCTCCCAGACTGAAGCAAAAGTGTCTCAGAAATCAGGTCGTTTTGCAGCTCAAACGATGCGAAAGTGGAACCAACAGCAGGTAAATACATTTTAACTCCAGTGGCTAAAGGAAACCGTCATGGCCTCCAGAGCAGCAGGTCACATTCTGCACTTTCTAATCCTGTTCAAAGTTAATCTGGCTTCACTTTTTCTGATGTTGCGTAATCCCGCCGGTCTGTCTGTCGGAACCAGCGCCGCCGCTGCGTGCGAAGCGCTCGGCTTCCCGCCAAAACATGACGGAGGAAAACGTTGGTCCTGAGCAGCTGATGCAGGAAAACACAGGAAGGTTCACAGGAAGTTCGGAGAGTTTCACACCGAAAAAAGTCATGGATTCATTTTCTGAAGAAACGAACGAGTGAAAGGAGAGAATAGAGATTCATTAATCGCACCACTTCATATTGCATTTATATTGAATTTTAATTTTTATGTTGGTACGTTTTGAACCGTCATACAACTTTATTTTCATGACTCGGTTCTTTATTATTTTTCCACCTGAACATTACTTTTGTTTGGCATCATAAAAGAAAAACCGATTCCTAAAGTTGTTCTGTTTTGCCTCTCTAGAGTTAAAAAAATAAGTTGACATTTTTTAAGGAAGGCACATAAACCTGCATCAACAGTTTCTTCTTAAAATTGAGGGGGGGAAAAATCCAAACTGCTTAATTTTAAACGGCTTCTGATGAAAACAAAACGTTTACGAGGAGGAATGAAGTAACGTCAGGGGAACTGGCAGTGAGAGCAACAGTCAGATTAAAGTTTCAGCGAACAGGAAGTGACCGTCCGACCCTGATGAGCGGCTGAGGGGAAGGAGAAGCACAAAGGCGCCACTTCTCACCTCTGAGGTCAGAACGAAGCCCATCTGCAGCAGCCAGCTTCACACCGAGGCTCAAAGCAATAAACGGCTGCTAAACATAGCCGTCGGTCTTCAACGTCCACGACTCGCTCTGGGGATTTTCCACCAAACCGCTGATGAACTGGAGCCTTCAGGTTAAAAGCTGCAGCTCCGGTCGGTAAACGGAGCAACAGAATCCTCAGTGAACTCAAACCTCATGTCTCCGGATGAGCGCAGGTTAGCAGGAAGCTAACGACACAACGAGCATTTATGACCATTTCCACCATAAAATCCAGAAAATGTTCAGGAAACAAACTAAACCGTCTGGATTGATGTTTGTATCACTTTCTGCTTCATTTGTTCAGTAAAAGCGCCATTAAATCTGGGAATATATTTACAGTGAGCTGTTCAGCATTATTCCCAGGGGGGTTACTGTGGAAACCATTTTAAATTTTTCACTGGGTTTTAAATTTAAAACTTCCAAACTTCTGCTCCGTTTGTTGACCCTGAGCTCAGTGAACAGCATGAAGCTCCTCCTCCAGGATGAGGCGGCGCCTCCAAACCAAACCGTCTGAAACTTCCTCCCACACTGCAAACAAAAACTCACCAGGTAATTAACACCGGTTTGGTTTTTTAAGTGTGAACATCTCAGTACACTGGAAATAAGACTAAAGTAACTTATAAGTAACTTTTAACCAAGAAATAAGTTTGTTTGTTTGTCGTCAATAAATCCTCAATATAAAAGTTCCAGTTCTGCTAGGAGGCGACTTCATTTCTCCCAGGTTAGAAGTGAAATAATCTGCAGTGGGACTGGACTGGGTTGCTAGACAACAGCTTTAAAAGAAGTGATTGATGTTGCTAAACATGAGATTATTTTGTGACTAGAGCTAAACAGTCGAACTCACCCATGACGGCCACCTGGTACAGCGCTCTGTACGGCTGGCCGGGCCGCGCCGCCGGGACAAAGTCCCCCAGCCCGATGGTGCACAGCGATATGAAGCAGAAGTAGACGCTGTCCAGGAACGTCCAGGACGCCTCCAGCGCGCTGAAGGCGGCGGCCGGCGCCAGGAAGCAGCACAGCACCACCGCCAGCAGGAGCAGCAGGAAGTGGACGACGGTGGCCGGCCGCGGCTCGAGGCCGGCGCGCCGCAGGAGGCCGACCGGCGCCAGGACCAGAGGCTGCATGATCCTCTGGACGCAGGCGGTCAGCACCAGCATGGTGAAGGGAACGCCTATCAGCGCGTAGACGATGGAGAACGCTTTCCCGGCGTCAGAGAGGGGCGCGGGGTGGCCGTAACCTGCAGGGACACCAACCGCAGCGGCTGCTTACGTTCACTGGACCAACAGCTGAACACCCCGACTTATTTTTACAACAACAATGTTGAGCACATCCACTTTCACCTGAAACATGTAACCAGTTACATTTACATGTTCTTCATTATGCACTTTTAGGACAATTTTAATATTCTGCACTTTGAGTAATTACATTATGAATCATTTCCATTCCTACATGAGGAAAGTTCCTGATTTTCTACCCACTGAATGGAAAAAAAATTCACCAAGAAAGGGAAAGAAATACCCAAGTGAATTGTATAAACAATATTTATATTGTCTATAAGTTGGATATGAACGAGGCCAGAGCTGGTGGCTTGTTGTTGTTGTCATACCAACTGCCTACCAAGATGGCTCCCAGAAGTTTGACGTCACGTGACAATTATGCATTTCGAAGTCAGGATTAGAGCCCAGACCTCCAGCTGTTCTGCAGGTCAGAGGTCGTGTCCTTACGCTCAACGTGCGGATGACAGTAAAACTGCAGAGTCGCTTTTAGCTGCACATTAGTGCAAACTGACTGCACATTTCTCCTCTACATCCAGAGTCCATGGCAACCGGCAGAAACAGGAGAATCATAACGGAAAAACAAAAATCACGCGGCCGCCGTCTGATCACCGCGGGTCGCTGTGACTCCGCTTTTGTTCTCGTCTTCATTTAAAACGCATAAGACGAAAACGTAGAACTGGGCGGACAAAGACCGTCTCTGTTCTGCTTCATGCATGAATTTGCATTTCCTCAGTGAGCATGTGAGCGTTCTACAGCGGCGCGTCTGTGACAGCGACTATCTCAGCTGCACTTCACAGAGATAACGCTGCGTTTTGCAACGAAGAGCAAAACATACGGCGGCGTCTCTGACTTCACAAAGCACAGGAAGCTGAAACAGGAACTACTTTAGTCAGTAATGAGATATTTCAGCTTCCATCCAGCAGATGATTCAATATTTCACAAGCAGATACAAGAACTGAACTTCTTTTTTTTAAATCACAAAACAATTTAAAAATGAACAAAAATGTTAAGTTAGCCACTGAAAATTTTAATTTAAAACAGAAGCTAAAAATGTTAATAAAAACCTTAAAAAAAGGTTGACACTGAAAATACAAAAGCAAAGAAATAGTCAGCAACTGAAATAAATTCATGAAATTTTTTTTTAATTTCAAACATTAAAAACTAAAAAAAATTATTTTTAAAAAGTTGCCACTGACAAATAGAATAAAATAAAAAAAAGTTAAACAGAAGCTAAAAATAAAGTTAGCCACTGAAAAAAATTAAAAATGTAAGTAATAAAGAAAATGTGTTAGTTGATAATTGTTTTTAAATAATTGAAATAATGTCAAACTTTTCTCTTATCCAGTTTCACTGAACATCTTTAAAATCATTTTTAATCAGTTATGAGTCAAAACTGGAATAAACTTTAAACTGCTGCTGCGCAGTTACCCTGCAGCTTGTTGCTAGGTAACCAAAGTTGGGTGGAGGGAACTTCAGACTTTTACCCAGCAAGTTGTTGCTAGGTAAAACTTTTATACATTTACTGAACCAAACAGATGTTACAGCCACTTAACGTTACATGTTGGGTAAAATTATTAGTTTTTTTCATAGATTAATGCTGAAATATTCAGAGGTGAATCACTGAAGGCGTTCACTCCAGTTTCTCTGCAGTTACAGATAAATTTCCATCAGTTTATTTTCAGAATGAAACTTTCGTTTGGAGGGTTTTTTACAGCTGAAACTTGTTTCTAAATTGTTTACAAAGGGGGTCGGTTGCTTTCTGTCCCGGCAGCACGGAAGCAAAAATATCGAACTATTCTGCAGCCCATCTTATCAGCAGCTGCCTCAACTTCCTGTGGAAACAGGAAGTGCATTGAAAACCAGGGCCAAAAGTCCTGAAACACAAATGAAGTCAGCCGGGTTTTTTTTACCCGTTTTCTAAATGCATCGTGTTCAGGAAACTCTTAACACTATGTGAGATTAAATTTAACACTATGAGTAACTGTGAGTTGCATTAATTCAAGTTCAGCTCATAGTTTCAGTTATGAAGTGAAAGTATAAACAAAAAGAAACAAATACAAAAAAAAAACAAACAAAAAAAGTACATTTCTACCAAAAAAAAGAAATTCAATAAAAAATCTAAAATTTTTTATCAATACCAAAAAATTTTTAGAAATAAAAAAATTTGATGGCAAATGTCAAAAATTCATAACTGAGATTTTGATTGATATCAGTATTTTTCTAGGAAAAAAATTTTCAGAGTTTCAAGAGTCAGGAATTTTAAATTCCTTAAACTGAAAGTTTTCTTCTAAAAAAAAAAAAAAGAGTTCTTTTTTCTAATGGATTTTCAACTTTTCCAACTCAAATTTCCATTTTTTTTTCTAAATTGATCATTCTCAAAGTATCTGAGTGTTAAATTGTACGCTGAGCTGGAAGCTAAAGAGTGACCCATATCTGACCTCATCTTCAAAACAAAAGTGTTCAACCTCAATATTTGAGACGTTTCACTTTAAAAATCCGAGCCAGAAAGTCAAATTTACCTTTAAATTTGCTCTACAGCTCAAAAATCAAACCTTTGAAGAACATTGTAAATATTCTGCTAATGTTGAAAGAACTATTTCCCCAACCGTGTTGTTTCTATTAAACAACAAAATCACAAGTAATTAAAAAAAAAAACAATCCTCCAACTGCTTCCTGTCATCTTCTTTGCCGTTTCTGCCAGTAGAAGCTTCCTGTTCATGATCAAAATTTCCATCACAGTTTTCCAAAATAAACAAGTTTTTCAATTTGCTGAATTTTATGGTTAAAATAAAAGCTAAAAACTGAGATTTGATACAACTTCATCAATTTAATGAGCCCTTTGGACCAAAGTTTAAAACTTTATGTCAAAAAGACACCAAGTGTTTCCATTTTTGTCACTTTCCCTGCAATCTAAGGAAGCCCTCTCTTAAATGAGATATTGACTTTCTAAACTGGAGCTAAATTGCCCCAATTAAGACAATAAACTTTATAAAATACTGGAATTAAACACTAAAAAAAAAGCCAATCATGCCTTAAATTGCAACCAATTAGAACAAAAACAAAAACTTTGGTCTGTGTTGCACCAAATATCATCTCTGCTGTGTTTCATGAGTCCAGGCTGAAAAACGTGACATGAAATTACTGCGTTTAGTTACAAATATCAGGACACGTGGCAAAAAAAAAGACCTAAAACTGCACTGCAAAAACAGATGATCCAACTTAAACATTTAATGTTTACCCAAGTAAACATGTTGATAAAAGTTGTCATTTGAAACAAACTTAATTTGACAGGTTAAATTAACTCATTATATCCGCCGTTTGTCTTGCGTCACGCGTAAAACCCGCAGAGTTTTGCGGACTCACCCACGGTGGTGACCAGCGTGTTGGCGAAGAACATGGAGGAGGCCAGGTCCCAGTTGGACCTGGCGGAGGAGTTCTTGAGGACGGACACGCCGTGCTTGTTGGCGGCCAGGACTCTGCTGAGGAACAGCTCCAGGGTGGCGGCGCTGACGCAGCTCTGGTTCAGGAAGGCTTCCTTCAGCCGCTGCGTGTCCAGGCGCAGCTCGTCCTCCGCCGGCCGCTCGATGCTGGAGAAAACCAGCGCGCCGAACAGCAGGTAGATGATGTAGAAGAGCACGAAGCCGCACAGCAGCAGCCACGACTTGCTGGCGGAGGGCATGGCGGGAGGGCGGCGGATCCGCTCGGACTGCTTCCCCTCTGCGCCGCGCGGAGGCTGAAGCCTTCAGGGGGCAGCCTGATTGGTCCAACGCCTCCCACCGGCGGGGAGGGGGCGGGGCCAACATGGCGGCTGCACAGGTGCGTCCTGATGGCGATCCTAAAGTAATGAAACAGCTCATTATGACAGCAGCGCGTTCTGCTCATTGCAAATAGGAAACTAAAAAGAGAAGGACATTGCTGCCAAAAACAGCAAGACATTCTGAGATTTCTAAGTTTGTTGAAAATTTGCCAGAAAACTAAACTTAAATTTTTTTTCTATCTTCTAGAAAAAAAAAAAAAACAGGGAAATTTATGGAGTTAAAAAGAAAAAAAGTCAGAATTTTTTTCTAGAATAATTTTGAATATTCAACCTTTGAAATCATTTTTTTTTTCTAAAAATGTTCTGAGTGTTTTGTATCAAATTTTAAACAACTTAGAAAATCAGATTTTGTTTTTCACATATTAAAATTTTCAATGTCAGATTTTTTCAAGTTTTTATTCCAAATCTCTGAGATGAATCTAAAAATTTTCAGAGTTTTATTCAGCATAATTTTATTCCACTTTTTCTTTTCTATCTTTTCTATGGACTTTTTGAGAATTTGGACAGTTTTGGAACAAAATATCAAAGTTTGTACAAACTCTAGCTGGAGCTACAGAAAAACTGAAAAGAAAAAGAATCAATGTAACTTTTTCAGCTTCAAAAATATGTTTTAATTTCAAATAAATGTTTTTATATTTTATTTTTAACCAAGTTTATGGCCCCAATTTAGCTCCATAGTTTGTTTACTTTTCTCCTCCATCTGTTTTAAAAGTTTTGATTTCGCCTTTCAGTTTTTTTTTTGTAGTTTAAAAGTAATTTTTCAGTTCCTTATTTTTCCCTCTTCTACAAACTTTTGGCCCTGATTTATCTCCATAGAGAAACAAAACTTTGCCACCACGCTCTGTTAATTTCTCCTGCCAGAAATCTCTGCTGTTGGCCTGAAAAAGTTTAAAAAGTGACTCGTGGAGTGAATGTGAGGTCAGGGCAGCTTGTTTTCTGCAGGGAATCTTTTATCAAGATGGCGACTCTGACTGAGCAAAGAAACGTTTCACAAAGGGCTTCATTGATCAGAGATGCTGCCAACAATCACTGGAGATAAATAAATCTGTTTGAGTAGTTTCAGACAGTCTAATTGCACCAGATTCTTCCCGGTTTTGAAACTGAAGGAGGAGAAAACACGTCGACATGTTCGAGATGACCCAGTTGAAAAGGTCACTCTGGATTTCTGTCTATTTGCCTCCAGGGTTCAGAAAATCAGTTTGTTTATGAGACAAAGCTTTAATCTTGTGACTTGGGATTTTCCAGCTATTTTTAAAAGGAAAAAAATACTTTTAGTCACATTTCATCTGAGATTCCTGCTCTAATAGATTAAAAAATATGTTTTCAATGCACTGCAAACATATAAATGGCGATAATAAAAAAATGTCAGTTTAATTTGAATTTAGCATCAAACTAAAGTGAATTTATTTCACTTTAAAGGCATAAACCAGGTAATATTATTGTGCTTTTAAGAGGCGATTTCTTTTTGTAACCTGAGAAATCATTTTATTTTATGGGATTTATGCCATCTAGCCTGCTTAAATGTACTTTTAACTTAATTTGATATGCAAACAATTTAACTTGGAGGTTGTTATAAACCTTTAATAGCCACTTAGCTTTCACCCTTTGAACGTAATTCTTCCTCAATTCCCCAAAAGTGGGCGGAGCCTGGAGCCACATAGGGGCGATGAACAGAGGGAGTAATCCGTGCTTTAGTTAGGACAAAAGAAGGACTTTTGCAAACTTAGTGACAATTCTAGCAATTTTTTTAGTTATTTATTTTTTATGTAATTTTGGAAATTTTTATGGTGACATGTGAAACAATGTTATTACAGTTAAATAAAACTAAAAATATTGAGAAAAATTTAATTGAAATAAATAAAAACATACTGGCACTGGAAATTCATTAGCCAATTCCTTTACAAACAATCACAATCCTTTGATATTTTTGAATTCTGCACCTAAAAATTTTACCAAAGTATAAAAAGAAAATCAAAACTACGATTAGAATAAAACCTAAACAATATTATATAACTAACAGTAACTAATAAACAAGCAAACTGGCAAGAACTAACTGAATTAGAAAAGCAAAAAGTTAAAATGAAATAAAACCCAACAAAAGAAATCTATTTTAACCCTGATGTGAAAGGAATATTAGCTGCATGTCCCTTACTAATGTCTAAAAAGTACAATTTTGCAATTACGCGTTTTAAGCAAGAAACATAATTAACATCACATGTGAAGTTTGTTCACACAATAAGGCATTAAAAAACTTGCCATGCCTTTGTCTGCCTACCACTTCCTGTCGGCTTCTTCATGGTTTCCAGCAGTAGTAGCATCCTGTTTCTTGATCATGTGTTCCTTTGCAGTTTTGTGAAACAAACTAATTTCAATACGCCCCCCGCCCCTAAAAAATAAATCTCTTTCCTGCATTTAGCCAAGTTTCAACAAAGCAAATAAAAGCAGATTTGTGTGAACTGAGAATAAAACAATGAGTAGTTGCCATGACGACAGAAAGAAAGCAGAAAATTTGGAAAAGATTATCACTTTGTGTTGAATCTAACATTAGATTTCAAATTAAAAGTTTGAAAGTTTGCCCTGATTTGTTTTATTCATTCTTGAATTGCGGTTGGGTCGGCCGCACAAAGTCAGTCCAGGGGCTACAAACGGCCCCCGAACCGCAGCTTGAACACCAAAGTTCTCTAGCGGTGACCCATTAATTAGTGAATACAAACAACAGACATGCAGTATCCTTTTTTTTTTATTACATCAGTTACCGAGCCGACAGCTCCGCCATCCCGACTGGAACAGATCAGAAAATATTCATATTTTTCAGGATTTTAACGGCTGTACAAATGGCACACAAGCGTGATTGTTTGGGACTTTCATCACAAATGATTGAGCCTTCAAATAACAGAATATGACAAATTATCTGCATGACAAAACTTAAAACGGTGCAGTCATAAAGAGGATGGGTGTTTTTAGCGTTTGGCGCAAACTGGAAGACAAACCTTCAACCTTGTGTCGTTATCTGGAGATTAAAGGCAGGAATATCACATGCATTTGAAAATAATAAACAGTAAAACGAGGCTTTAAAAAGTGTTTTCATACATTAAATGCCACAAAATGACGCTCAGCTCCACTCTTCAGTAGCTGCGTTTCCATTACAAACATGCCCAAAACTTCATTAACATTTTGATAATGTCGAAAAAACCCCGCAATTTTAGAAAAAAAATAAAAATCCCACAAAACTCTCTGTCTGCGTGACAACTTATTAAAAAAAAAAAAACATGCCGCACTATTATTCTCCTACCACTTCCTGCTTTCGTCTTCGTGGTTTCTCCAGTGGCAACATGCGGTTGTGGATCTCGTGACTATTGGATCCAAACACAAATCCGAGTTTTTTTCGCCTTCCTTCCCACTAAACTAATTATCTGATTAAGCTAATTTAGTTTCAAAAGTGCACAATTATGTCATCAATGGAAACGCAGCTGGAGAAAGTGCAGCATTTTTTCAACTGTGAGGAATCCAGAAGATGGAGATCAGCAGTTCCTGCTGCGTTTAAGGAACAATGAGAACGGGGGAAAGTTGTCAATCAGTGCATTTGCATAAGTTTTACCAGCTTCCACAAAGGATCCAGCCACCATGTTATTACAGGAACCGATTTAATATTAATGATTTTAAATTGGGAAGAAAAAACATTTAATCTGGAGGGAATTGTTTGAAAACTATTTGAGTTATAACCAAAACATCAGATCTGATTTTGTTAATTGTCTAATGATAGACGTTACAATTTATTTATTTCCACTGGGAGAAAATACAAAAAAGTCAAATAAAAAAAGTTATCTGTATGCATAAAATCACAAAATAAAATATACATTTATTTATTTTATTTTTAATTCAATTTATGAAAAAGAAAAATGTACATATGTATAATTTTTTTTTAATTAAATTAAAAATAACTAATAAAAATAAAACATGACTTTTTTTCATTATTTTTAAAAAATTATTAATTCATCTTTTTAATTAATTCATGTATTTTCTCCCACTGATGTTGCAGTTTGTGATAAAACAGTAAAACATTTTAAAAAGTAGCAACATCTTCCATAAAGATGTTTTTTTAACGATAATTTAGATCCATAATGGAGAAAATCCCATCTGCTTTATTGTAATTTTGTTCAAATTCCCGGTCGTCTGTTTTGTCAGCATGGTGGCGAGCCCCGTGGGCCTGCTGGGGTCAACAGGTCACCTCAGGATGAGGAACAAGATGGCGGATGGAGGGAAATAAAAAGGCTCCGACCCAGCCGCTCCGTTGTCCGGAGCGCGTCGCTCAGTGCTCTGGGCGTAAATTAACTGGAGTGCAAACGGGAAACATGATCCTTAAACGCGCTGCAGCATCACGCCGCAGCGTCACGCTGAAACGTCACGCCACGACGTTCCTGTTGTAGTCGTAGGACAGCCGGCGCTTGGCGGCTGCGTGCTGATTGGCCGAGGAGACGCCGGGGGACAGGCGGCGGTTCGTCGTCCAGGAAGTAGATCTGCTTTCCTGGGAAGACGTCGACCAAAAGAAGGAAATGCATCAACTTGCTTTATTGGTTAGATGATATTATTACTGCTGCTACTAATAATCAGTTACTCAGTAACTTTTTACTCTTGAGTATTTTCTTGCTACTTTTTCTTGAGGGCTATTTTTTATTTACCTGTATAAGCACAAAGTGATTTCACCTTAGATTTAATTATGAATAAGCAGAGATAAGTAAAATCTAATTAAATTGATTAAACTGATGACGCAGCGATGATTTTACTCACAGGAAGCGGCGGCTGCAGCTGCAGAGTTTGGACCAGTAGGTTCTGAGACGCGCTGCTGGATCTCTTGTGGCTCTGGTCGATCATTTTATTCAGATCATGGAAAGAGTCCAAAAGCCTTCAGAGAAAAAAACGACGACAACATGCAGATTAAATGGGCAGAAAAACAATATTTACCCGTAAAATAATCTAAAATACACTTTAAAGAGATAATAACTTGAAAATAATATTCAAATTATTAATTTACTTGATTATTCCACCTTAAAAACAAATGTTATAAACACTGTAATCATAATTATTACAGAAATCAAATAGTCATACTGCAGTTCAGTCAATTCACCACGCGGGGGCGACATTCTACTTCCTTTTACTTCCAGCTCAACTGATTTCCATGTAAAAATCTTATTTTCGCGTATAAATGCTGCCCCCTGTTGGCACCGGGAAGCATTGAAACAACCTTTTTTTTTTCATTAAAACGAAGTATTTTAAGAGAGAATGGTCCATAATATGAAATATAAACTGTTTATAATGTAACTATGTAAAAGAAAGCATATATCTGTAAAACTAAATCAAAGCTAATTTAAATAAATGGTTCTCAATGTACATATTTTATGTAGATAATTTGCAAAAAACATTTGAGTTTATTAACATTAAAGTGGAGAAAAGAGATATATTTAAACAGCAATCAAACTTCCATCTTGATTTATTTTTTCATACAAAGGTTTCAGCTTATATTCATAATTTATTAGAAATGTATGAAAAAGAAATGAAGACTTTCATTTACCTTTATTTCAATAGAAATACAGAATTAACATTTTTCTTTACTTTTGACAAGGAATGCTAATATATTAGCATTAGCACTTTTAAAGCATCAACCTGAGAAGTAAAAGTGGACCGATTACAACATCCAAGGTGGGGTCGATGGCCTACCCTTGATCCTGTCTGGCTCGGCTGCGGAGGAGCTGCGTCAGCGTGGGAACGGCTCCCAGGTCACAGGGGTCGCCAGGGGAATCGCTGGGCAGCGCAGGGAAGGCTTCAGCAAAGACTGCCACCTGCAGGAGAAACCAGAAAACCTCAGAGGCAAAACATGAAACATAATCCAGAGAGAAAGAACCGAACCCGCACGGCAAAAACACAAAATCCAACTATTTTTGGTCTATTTTTAAGCAAACATCTTAGTCAATAATTCCTTAATAGTGATAAAAAAGTTATTTCACCCATAAAAAGGCATTTTTCCCATAAGTTTGTTCATAATAAAGAATTATTGACTTTAAATATCTGGATGAAGTTACTTGTAAATTAGTTTTGTCTTAATTCAATACGTTTGCTGAAGAAACCAAACCAAAAATACTTTAATACTTGGTGTTTTTGCAGTGTTGGCGTCATGTAAAGTAGAACGTTATGCAAACACTTGATATGCGATAAAAAGAGCGACTCTTCCTGGCGGTTTGAAGCATTTAATTTACCGCCTCTGAGGCCGAGGCTCATTTTTCATCTGCATCTTTTTCCGTGTGTTTAACGTCCACAGAGGTTTTCCCCCGCAGCTTCGTCCTCCATCTTTTATGACTGACGGCTCCAAATGTTGCTGCACAACATCCACACTTATTTCTAAACTAAAACGGGAGGGAAACCAGGATAAAACCTTAAACTAGAGCTGAGATCAGAGATAAACTATAATATTTATCGATGGGTTCCCCCTGTCATATCAATAAACTTTCAGTTTGTAGAAAACACCAAACAGCAGAAGATATAAAAAGATCCAAAATAAAAAATGACGACCAAAGAAAACGGAAACAAAAACCACAAATATATAGATTATTAAGCCCCTTCAGATGAAATTACCCTTCAACAAACATCAATTAGAATGGAAATGATCAAACTCATTCTAATTGATGAATTAGTAAATTAGTTTATGATCATTTCAATAATCAATTAATAACAAATAATGGTGTTTTTGAGTGTCTATTCTACTTGATTAATTGTTGACTTAATCAATAAGTATTTCAATAATTGATTAATTATGATTAATAGTTTTTTTCAATGTATACTCTAGTAAATGATGAATTGATTATTTCAACTATCGATTAATCACGATTAATTGCAGTTAATCACCATTAATCAGGATTAATGGCATTTTTGGAGCCTGTACAGTTTAATTAACAACTAATTGACATGGAATAAATCAATTAATCATGATTAATCGTGACTAATGGAGGTTTTGGTGGCATTAGTTAAAGGTATATTATATAGTGTTTGGTATCTTTTTAAAGAAAATCCTCTTGGCTCCATCTGATTCAACTTTTGAGTCTTTGACCAAAACAGAGGTCACTAGAGTTTGTTAAATTAAAAAATAATACACATTTCCCACACTTTTTGTCCAAACTAGGTAGATTTATTTTAGCCCAGTGATATTCGGGGACATATCAGTTATTACCTCAGACTCAAAACATTCAGAAAATGTCTAAAATGTCTGTTCTGTCTGTCTAACTTGAATCAGTGCTGTAAGAGATTCAAAGCTTGGTGGCCAAGAGTGGACCAGAAAATGGCCCAACGACTGGTCTAGCCAAAGTTTTGAAGCCAGAGTCGTACCAGGCTGTGATTGGTTGGCGGTCCATCTCTCCTCGCCTCCACGGCGTTGGCCGGCCACCATCGCTCCTCGCCGTCTCCGTTCCCACCTGTCGGCTCCAGAGGGAAGGCCGTCCAGGTGTCGCCACCTGCTGTTTGAAGACACAAACAGCTAATTCACAACCTGAACTCACAGCTGAAGTTGGTTCTGGACGTTTTCTTATTGTGTTTCACGCTGCCTGTTCCTTTTCCCCTCACAGCCACAGTTTCTCCTCTGACTTCCCCCCCGGTTCAGACGAGGCATGAAGGATCCACCTGACTCTTCCTCTGTGCGAATGTTTCTCCCGATAACCTGAGGCTAACAGGAGCCTGGAGTCACTTTTCCTCCTGCCCTCCACCAGCCCAACTCTAAAAGATTAATAGCATGTAGAGGGAGCAGCCGGCCAAAAATCCAGGTCAGGACAGACTAAAATACTGTATTCATTCTGCAAGTGCTTTCTAAAGAAAGACGTTACCTAGATTTATAGAAGGATATTTAGAATATTTTAAATTATGATCTTGTTAGGCTACAAGCCAGTTATCGATTAACTGAAAGGCCGTAAAACTTAGTTTTCTGTTATATCAGGAGAAACGGCCGTCTTCCCGCAACATGAAGGGAAACTTTTTCTGGTAGTTTGTGTTTATAAAATGCTGAATTAAAAAACCGAAACGCTACATTTGTTTTTCAGAGCCGCTTAAAATTCGTCTCAAATCTCCGTCTGGACCGTTTCCCTCGTCTGCTCTGGTTTAACCGCCGCCATCTTTAATTGCTGCGTCAACAGCTGCGCTTACGGAGGAAAACCAGCGGCGCCCCCTGCTGGACGGCGGCCGAACTACAACACTTGAAAAAGGGGATTCATTTTAATCTAACAAATCATCAGACGACAGTTAATCTTAAATTGATTTATTCTTTTAACTGTATCCTGCACCAATTCTCCAACTTCTGACCAATTTTCCATTAGTTTCTGTTATTCCAACCAGGTCAGAGGTCAACTGTTTGGCGTGTTTTTCTCCTTTGAAGCCATTAAATATCTTCTTCTTTCACATAGAAAAGTTCTCCTAGCTTTTGTTGCGTTTACTCACAACAAACAGATGTTAGGAATAATTTGGAATGAGTGTAATTGACTTTTTTCACTTGAAGCAACATTAATGAACTGGATTCAGCTGAAATAAGGGCTGCAACTGAACCTTATGTCTGTTATCAATTGAAATAACTGAAATTTCAACATTCTGCAGATTATTTTTCATTTAACCACAAGCTAATTTAAAAGTAACAATAATACAATATTAAAATGGTGAAAATATTACATAATAAGGCATAATAACATTATTATGATCCAATTTAAAGGTTATTTAGACACTGAAAGGTTTGAGTCTCTAGTATTGATGCACTAATGTGAAATTTAAAAACATTGTAGTGACAATCAGAATAAGTTTGTAATTCTGTACATTTATGTTTGCATTTATAGTTGCAGGCAGAAACTGGGCTGAAAATGTTTGTTGAGGTTTAGTGTTTTTGCAGCGCTGCATTCCTGAGGGATCAGAAAAGCTTCGAAAGGCTCCTAATACTCTGCACAAGTGCTGCTGGTTTTGGTCGGGTTGGTAACTTTCACTCTTTGGTTTTGGATTTAAAAAGAAATGAGGATGGAAAAAAAACAAACACAGGAGAAAAAGATAAAGTAATAAAGTTTGGGACTCACCAATCCTCGCTCTGCTCCCAGAGGTTTCCGAGGCGGACATGTTGACCCCGTCGCTCCAGGCCGGGTCGCCCTCCGCCTGCATGAAGACCCCGAACTCATCCTCCTCTTCCTCCTCAGTGGAGGAGACCCTCACCTCCTCTGCTCTCTCCTCCAGCTCTCCACTTGGACTCCTTCTCCGGTTTTGGCCGCCTTTCTCCTCCTGCTCCTCTTCCTCCCCACCGGTGGCCATGGGAGCCAGAGAAGGGGCAGGATTAGAGGAGGCATTAAAAACCAAGGTTGATGTGTTTTCCTCTTCATCCTCCAGCTTCCCGCAAATGCTCTCATCCTTCAGTTTCTCTGATTTCTCAGAAAGTGAGAGATTTTTCTGTCTGACAGGTGAATAGAAAAACTCTTCGTCCTCCTGAAAACTGTCGTTTTCCTCACCTATTTGGAAAACATTTGGTTCTCTGGTTTCCTCTTCATGTTCAACTTCACGTTGGTTTCGGTTTGAATAAACCTGGATTTTGTCCTGATCAGCGCCCCCTACAGGAATGGAGGACGATACAGAATTCAACTGTACTTCCTGCTCCGTTTCTTCTTCAGCGCTCCCAACAGGATTGGAGGACACCACACCATCTAACTGTATTTCTTCTTCTGCATTTGGTCCAGCGCCCCCTAAAGGATTGGAGGACTCTACAGAATTAATCTCCATTTCCTTCTGTGGTTCTGCTTCGTTCTGTTTGGTTCTACAGTGAGGAATGGGTGAATTTTGCCTCTCCTGAAGTCTTCCGGGTTCTTTCGCTCCATCAGCAGCCGAGTTGTTTTTGGAGTCCATCTCCTCGGCTTCCTTCCCGTCCAGGTCCAGCTCAGTCTCCGTTCTTCTTGTCGGACCTTCGTGTTCCTCTCGATCGTCCCGGCTGATGTTTTGAGTGCGGGTTTCGGGTCGAACATCGAATGGCTCCGCCTGCTTTCCTTCAGCCGTTTTGCAGCTCCTTTCCTGGCCGATGCCGGACTTCCTCCACCTCCGGCCGGACCGCACCCTGACCCGGTTCGCAGCGGCCTCAGTCGGCGGCGGCTCCGCACTTCCTCCTAATCCTTCTCGCTTTCCTCTCAGCCACTCTCCGACCGTGCTGGACGTCGAACCGGGCTTGGCGGTTGAGTATAAGCGGCTCCCCCTGTCTGTCTGGAGGAAAAGGCATTGCGTTTGCGTTTTTCCGCCACCTTCCGACGTCTTCAACGTGGCGACGGTTACCAATGCGCCAATCCCGGCCTGCCGGGCGTTGACGCCCAGCGGCAAACCGTACCCGCTCGGATACACGTCGGCAGGCCTCGGGCAGGACGTTGACGTCCCTTTACCTCCCGGCGGCGGGGCAGCCGGGGGTTTCCCTCCACCGAGCAGACCGCCGGCTTTGCGGCGGTTCCTGGAGCACAGCGCCCAGGCTCGGAGGCCGCGGATCAGCGGCAGGTCTCCCAGGCCCAACTCGACTCGGCTGGGGAAGGCCAGCGAGGTTCTGGAGCACCTCTGGATCATCTCCCGGGGGCAGTCCGACATGCCCAGGCAGGGGTAGTTGTTGTTGTTGTTCTGCTGAAGCATGGCGCCTGTTGTTGGCCTCATCTAAGTTTTATGGTTGTTTCCTCGCTCCAGCCTGTTCAGTTCGTTTTAATCAGTTCGTTTGTCTGAGGAAGGACCGAAACACCTCCCCGGTTTGGTTGGACGTGTCTGAATATGTGAACACCAAGCGGACCGAAGGCCGCTCCAAAACCAGGAAGTGGAAAACAGAGCAGGGCATTCTGGGGACTCTTGTTTGTTTCAACCACTTTGTGAAGAAATAAGCTCCTCTTCAGAAGTTTTTTGTGTCGTTTCTGTCAGTCATTCTTGGTGCAGCGCCCCCACAGGCGAGGAGGGGAACGAGTCTGTCAATTAATCTGGATTGTTTGACTCAGTGCAGTGATTATCAGGTTGATCTGAATTCTCATTTGTGAGAAGAAACGCTGGCAGACTAAACAATGAGCTGATCTTTATAACCTAAAATCTTAGCAGTTCCCTCTGATGGTGGAAAAGCTCCAGTCTCTGAGTAAAAGCAGAGGAACAAGCAGGTCACATGTCCTGCTGTCTCTGCAGCTGAGAGCGAAGGTAATGAGGATTTTGTTCTCTTCCACTCCGATGCGCCGTGACGCCGTCGCCTGACCTCTCTGTCAGCTGGACTCGCGTCTCTCAGGGCCGATCGGGCCGTCAAACCAACGAGGCTGCAGGGACAAAACGGAGACGGTTAATGCTCTCAAAGGAGAAATAAACGCGCATCGAGAACAAGAAGGACATTTCAAGATTAAATTGAGTCTCACTTACAAACTGATTTACTAGAGTTTACGGAATGGAACAAAATGTAATTTGGTTTCACTTTCATTTTTGCCAAAATCTGACATATTATTCAAACTTTTTACATCTTGTGACATTACAACCAAGAAACTTTAGTTTAGCCTAAAATATTTAGGCAGTAAATCAATTAATTACATGATTAATTAATATTATGACTATATGATCATTTGCCACAACAAAGCTAATGCAAAGTTGCTAACATCATTTCAAATTGAAGTTATGTTTATGCTCTATAATGCCTTATTATTGTATTTGTTTATATTATGTTTTATATTGTCTGTATTTTATTCTGGTCCTATGTTTCTTGTGTGTAATAATCAATCAATCAAATTTTATTTGTATAGCGCATTTCAGCAGCAAGGCATTTCAAAGTGCTTTACATCATAAAACACAAAAACATAAAGTCATTCAACATGGAATAAACAATAATTACATTTCAAACAAAACTCTAAACAGGTGTGTTTTTAGTTGCAATTTAAAGGAAGTCAGGGTTTCCGCTGTTTTACAGTTTTCTGGAAGTTTGTTCCAAATTTTTGGTGCATAGATGCTGAAAGCTGCTTCTCCTCTCTTGGTTCTGGTTCTGGGGATGCAGAGCAGAACCAGAACCAGAAGACCTGGGAAAAAAAATAGAAATAGAACTGAGAAGAGGAAACGGAACTGCTAATTAAACATTCTTCACCCACATCAAAATAAAAGCATGATTAGCTAATTGGAGATTTTCTAGCAGCTAAAAACCAAAATAAATGTCAAACTTCTCCCAAAGGAAAGTTTACAAAACAACCAAGTTAATTTAGAATTAATGTGGAAGAATTCAGAGGAAGCTAAGTCCGCTAAAGGTTTTCATAGTTAGCTAAATGAAAAATGATCTCGCATGATTCACACATTAGTGTAAGTGTGTCCACCATTTAATTTCAATATGCAACTGTTTTAACCTCACAATGTGGATTTCGGGCAACACACCTCTAAGTATTGGTGTAAGGGAAGCTAAGTGCGCTAAAAATGTTCAATGTTAGCAAACATGCTAACATTGAATGTTATTAGCGTTCAATGCTAATAGCATTAGCGCATTAGCTGCCGTGTGGCCACCACTGGGTGTGAATGTGTGTTTGTAACCGTTTTAACTATTTGCATGTGGATTTAAGGCAACATACTTATTTTAAGGAAGCTAAATGTGCTACATGTTTTCAAAGTTAGCAAAAAGCACTAAGCCAAAAATTAGCTTTCCTATTCGCGATTCACTGAAACTCACGACCTTCTGATTGCAAGACGACTATGACAAGATTAACCCCATCCATCCCTGTCCATGCTGAACACATTCCCTTAGCATGATGCTGCCACCACCATGCTTCACTACAGACATGTACTCGTTTCCCCTCCACTCACAGCGTTTTGCATGAAGGAGAAAATGTAACATTTTGGTCCCATCTGGACAAAGTTCAGCCAAATCCAAATCCTGGAATATTGTTTTAGAACCACAACTTTCTTCATGAAAAATCCTGCCAGAATTTTATGTTTATATTTCTACGAATAGAATGAAATCTTCAGCTACTTTCTTATGTAACACCCAAATTAAAGTAGTCTGAATTTTACTGTTACTTGGAGACAAAATGTGGAGAACTTGTCGTTGGTTCTGTTCAGGTCTGAAACAAAGAGGCTTTAATTGCTTTAATTGACACTTTGCGCATCCTGGTGCCACTGAGATCAGACGTGACATCAGCAGACGCGTAAAATCCAGATTTTATAACATACAGCATCGGAGACAAAGGCAGGTGTTGGCCACGTATCAGACCAGCAGCAAGTGTGTTAGATGAGCCACCAGTAAAACCAGTAGCTCCCCCACCAGAACATCCAGAACGGAAGGTTCCCCCGAAGCGGATTTCAGTTCCTTACCTAATCAGATGTTCGGGATTTTATTCCAGGTCCTTCCACATCTTATTGTTTACAGGGAAGCTGCTGGAGCATCCTGAACTGATCGCATCATTTCCAGACGGCCTGCGCCACTGACGCCACAGAATCAGTGAAATCTGCGTCCGGTCCGGTCCAGTCCGATCCGTCAGAGAGCGGGGTAACCACACACCCAGGACCCGATCCTCCGGTTCCTGCGCAGCGCATCATCCGCCGCGGCTCTGCGGGGCGCATCGACGCATCTTTCCGCAGTCAGTCCGCCAGTCGCCTCTGGAGCCTCAGCCAGCCGGATGACGGAGAACGAGGTGGACCTGCAGCCCACTCACTCACCGAGGGGAGGAGAGATGGAGCCACGCAGCGCAGGGAGAGGAGAGGCCAGAGGAGGTATGGCGGGTTGTTAGTGCCAGCGGAGGTATGGCGGGTTGTTAGTGCCAGTGAAAGTGGAGGCTCTTTATATTTTATAGGGACGTTAAGTCAGAGGAAATGGGTTCATGTCTGACAAAGTCTAGAGCTTAATCTCAGAATTGTTGTGAAAAATAAATACATTTACAGGTGGTTATTAATCTAAAAAAAATTCTAGAATTTTTTTTTCTAAGATTAAAAATTTGAAAACTTTCCAAAAGTCGCATTAAAAGAAAAGAGGACATTTCTGAGTTTCATGAGTCAAAAACCTTCAAATATTTCAAACTCAGAGAAACCTCAGATGTCTTGAGTTTTAAATGTGAAAAATTAGATAAAGAACAACTCAATTTTTGAAAAAAAGGGGAAATTTAAGAATTTGAAATGTTATAATTGGAAAAAAATATCTCAGAAATTTTGACTAATTTTAGAAATTTTGATATTAATCTTGATATTAATCTCAGATTTTTTGAGACAAAAATGTGAAAATTTCTGAAAGGAGGAAAAAAAAGTTCACAAATTTAACTTATATTCCCTGTATATTGTTATATTCTTTGGATGCCAGTTATATTTCCAATCAAAACTTCCATTGCTGAAAGAAAATAATTTTAAGTGTAAATTTGCCATCATGAATAATTTCAAACTAAACATCTGTCAGAAAATCCAATACGCATGTATATAAAGTGACGTAAAAATCATAATTACAATAGATTATATTCTAACATTCCTATGTTGGTGTTAATTTTAAATAAAAAAATGGGTAAAAATGAAGCCATCTTGGGTTTTTCATGTGGAAGAGCAGCGGGTGACACTGCAGGGACAAATGCTGTCAGTTCCATCCTGACTGTGGCACTGTTTGCTCCTCATAGATCTGTTTTTAGCCTCCTCACACACATTGGAGATACGTTTTCACTGCGTCATCGCTGAAGATGACACACTGCAAAACTGCAAAACACACACACCGCCAGAAGACGTCATGCATCCGCGTGTAGTTTTCCATGATGAGACTTTTTATCCGAATCCTCATTCATTATGTCACTAATTTCAAAAACTAAAACACATAAAATATTATAGAGGGAAATACTGCAAGTTATTTATTTTAATTTTGATTAATAGGTTTTTAAACAGTATATATTTTATATATATAAATATTAAACTGTCATTTCTATGCCTTCAGTACTTGGTTTGGGCTCCTTTTGCATGAATTACTGCATCCATGTGGCATAGCCTGGACGCCAGCACGTCGCCTTTATGGCAAGCCATTTTAAGATAAAATCAGCTTCACTAATTACATCCCAGATATCTAAATTGGTTTTTGGCTAAACCTAAGAGTTGTGACATTTCTGAATTTTCAGATGAAATAAAATCTGTTTTAATGGAAACTTAAATGTTTCTTCCCCTGAATCTTAGCTTTGCTACCTTGACAGTAATTGTTCACCAGGAAGATGGCAACAAAAAAAACAACAACAAAAAGAGCAAATAGTATTTTATTGTCGTCTTTCCAATGCAGCTCTGGCACAACACTTAGTTCTGAAAATCCTAAAATCCAAAAAAAAATGTGATCACCTCATTCATCCAAAAAGGTAAAAACATCTGTACATACAGTGGAGCCCACGCAACGTTATCTTGACTTTACTTTGCTTTTTAAAAAACATTTTTCACCTGCTAGACGTTGCTTCCTTTCAGTTACCAAAGGAAAACTAAACAATCAAAAGCACAAATTTGCTCTCAGATGCTTTCAATATTTTGCAGCTGACATTTTGAAAATCCCTTTCTCAGATTTTAACCTGCATTTCCTCAATTTAGAAATGAAAATGGTGAAAATATTGATTTACTGGCAGACAGTTTTATAGAGGTAATAGTTAAAGGCACTTCTTATATTATTATGTAGCAGTAACAACACAAATCACATTATGCTACACTTGGGCTTCTGAGAAAATTAAAGCTTGCCACTCCTTAATTAGTTTCATTGTAGCAGCCAAAAAAATGTGTAATCATTTAAAATTTACAATTATTTTTGTGTTTAAAATGTTAAATTAAATCCCTTAGATTCCCATTGTCTCATTTTTACATTTTTGCAAAAATAAAATCTCCATCGTGAGACTGTTGAATAATTTCCAGGCGATGCAAAGTGAAAATATAAACAGGCTAGCAGCATGTTGGCCTACATGTTTGAGAGAATCCGCCTCTGTAAGGTCAGAGGTCACAGAGCATCCTGCGTACACACAGCAGTAAACTCTGGGACGTAGCACCAACGAAAGGCCTTCAGTACAAGTCTTACGTAGAAAATAACAGCCTATCATCTTTATAACCTCACACTTTTCCTGCAACACCAACAAATGAGATCATCAGATAAAAAAAAAAAAATTAAACTCTGGTGAATATGAAAATAATTACATTTTGCTTTGAAGGGACAACGCTTAAAAAAAACAAAACGCTATAATATAGAGATATTTACATAAATCTATCCAGTATGTTTTTTTGATTGATCAGTATAAATGATTTTAAGTTTCTTGAAAACAAAACTGCGACGATGTACAGTTCTCATGTGACTTTGCTTCCAGGAACTTTGTAGCTGACGGCCATCTTGGTAGGTAATGTATCTAACTGTCATGACAGTTGCTATGACAACAATAAACAAGCCACAAGCTTAGAACTAGATTCCTTTCTAACTTATAAAAATATAAGAACATTAAAACAGTTATTCGAGTAATCTGCTCTCGTTCTGTTGGTCTTGAAGCCGTGGTTCACCTGTGCTTTGTGCTGGACTTGCCTACCAAGATGGCGGATCAGTGGCGCAGCTCGGACTTGTTGGAACTACATCGATTCTGCTGGTGAGCGTAAAGATATTCACACTTTGAATAAATAAAAATAAATATTTGATGATTACTGTTTATCAAAACTGGACAAATAATTAGGACAAACCTAACAAAACTAAATGAACAACAAAAATAGTCAAAAGAAAACAATAAAACTAGTATATATTACTCTTTAGTTGCAATACTGATAGTAACGCTGGTTGATAAAAAGACCTTGTATTTCATCATGCCTAACCTGATAAAATATAAAACATAAACTTTAATTTTGCCCCTCATTAAAATAACACTGCAACCTCATCAGTCTAAAAAACACAAAAACAATGAAAACCAAAAGTTATTTAAGATATCAATACAGCATTCTCAGTAGTTAAAAGTCTGATGCTTGGTGAGTAGTTACTGAGGATTCGCCGGTCCGAGTCTCAGTGGCAACCAGGTGTCTGGTGATTCTCGTCGTCTTGGTGACTGTTGTGACGGTTCCCTCCTCTGTGGAAGAGACTTGGTGCTCTTCGGACATTTGCTGGCTGGCGAAGTCGAGTCCCGAGGTGTGGAGACAGAAGGAACCGGAGACGTCCACCTCCCCTCCCAGCTCGCCCCTGCGCTGGGCCTGAGGGGAACCCTCTGGGGTTATCTGGAGGAAGCCTGGGGTCAGGAAACAGGGACAGGCGCAAGAGGAAAAGAGGAAGAGTGCGGAGGGTAAGTGAAGAAATCAGGACTGAAAGGAAACTTTGTCTTCAGTAAGAGAAAACAAATCAGGAAGAGAGATGTTAATGGTTGAGGAACATCCTATAGATACTACAAATGATCATTGCTGGTGGGTCTGTTCCTACCTGTGGAATGGGGCTTCAGAGTGAACTTAGGGACCTTGAACCAGGAGGTAGATTCCTTTTCCTCTCCCTCTTTGCTTCTGCTCTCCACCTCGCTCCACATCTGAACCTTTGTTGATGTGAACTCTGCACCAAAACCCAGTGGAGACTCTGAACTGTCCCTGTCCAACATCTCTGTTCGGGCATGAGATGACACCACTTCCTTTAAGGCCATTTTGTCTGGAGTTTCAACCCCTTGGAGGTCAACTTTTACTTCTGATGAGGAGTCCTTTCCCATTTTATCCCCTGATGCCATCTTGCTGTACGGACTAGTAAACTCCACCTTTGGAAGTTTGATTTTGCCCCCGAATGTCCCTTTATTATCCTTGTGATGAGCTTCAGCTTTTTCTCCGTTGAGACTTGAACTGTCTCCCTTTGTGACATCAGCAGACCCTGATTTGCCTGATGAAAATGAAACTTTGGGCATTTTAATCTTTGCTCCCTTTGACTTTTCCTCTTCCTCTGCTTCTCTTTCAGATGATTTATCTTTAGACTTCCCAAAGCTTGACTTCTTTTTGATTTTGGGGATCTTCACTTTGACATCTTCTATCTCAGTTTCAGCTACTGTCTTCTTGTTTGGGGGCGTAAGGCTTGCAGATGCCTGCTCTGTTTCATTTGGATTCACCAAAACAAAAACAGCTTTCTTTACTTTGGGCATTTTAGGACCCTCATACCGGATTTCTGGTCCATGGACATCCATCCTTCCTTCAGGAGAAGAGATGGAGGGTAATGGGACCCCAAATTTGGGGATCTTGACTTTCTTCTCCATCTCTGTTTTGTCATCATCTTCATCTTGTGATGTACCAATATCAAACTCTATATCAGGTATTCTAGGTACTTTGACTTCTTTACCGGAAGATGATGGGCCTCCTTTGGTACCTGAGCCTGTTTGGAGACCAATGCTTGGTAACGTCACCTCCGGTGCTGTGATGTTAACTTGACATTTATCAGTTGCATGGCCATTGTTTTTGACATCAACATCTCCACTGTGTTTTACTTTTGCTGTTACATCTTCAACACCTTTCATTTTTGGCACCCCGATCTTAAATTTTTTGCCCTTCTTAACTTTCCCGTTGGCTCCTGATGTGTTTAGATCTAGGTCTGGTAATACAACTTTTTTCTTGTCGATCTTAACACCCTCTTTTTGAAATCCTATGTTCAGTTCTACATCTTCTTTTGGACCTACAATATCTATTGTTGGCATTTTCATCTTTAAACCTTTGCTCTCTCCCTCAATATTTAAATCGCCCTTTAGATCTGGTGTTACCACTTGTAACCCAGGCTCAGGTTTGGGTATTTTATCCTTTGGCATTGATACTTTCCCCTTTGCAAGTTTGGCATCTGAACCTGTAACTTCCATCTCCATAGTACTGCCTTTACCTTTAGGAAGGGAAATATCAACTTTAGGCATCTTTATATGGGATAGTTTGATAGTTCCACTTTCTACCTCAGTTTTCCCACTAGATTTGTCAGTACTTGTTTTTGGCTTCTTGAGTTGTCCTTCTTTCTTTATGTCCATCTCTGGATCTTCCATGGAAGGTTTTACTTTGGGAAGAGATATATCAACTTTTGGCAACTTGAATTTTCCTCCTTCACTCTTAATGCCAGCATTGGGGCCTGCAATTTTATCTTTTGGCAAAGAAATGTCTCCAGAGGGTACTTCTGGTAGGCTTCCCTCTACTTTTAACTCTGTTCCTTCAAATTTAGCAGCATTACCTTTGGGTAAAGAGATGTCAACATTTGGCTGTTTCAGGTGAGGTATTTTTATTTTGCCCTCTGTACCTCCTATCTCAATATCAGGACTCTCAATTCTTCCTTTGGGTAATGATATATCAACTGAAGGCATACTAAAGTGTGGCATGTTAAGCTTTCTACCTTCACCCTCAATTTCCACATCTGGACCATCTTTTCCTTTGTTGACTGAGAAGTCCATATTTGGCATTTTTACATGAGGCACTCTAAATTTTTCACCCAAATTTCCTGTAATTCCAGCATCTGGGTCAGCAGTTTTTTCTTTAGATACAGATGTGTCAACTGAAGGCAATTTTACGTATGGCATTTTGAATTTTGCTCCTCCATCAATGTCTAACCCTTCAGCCTTTCCTTTGGGAAGGGCTATTTCAACAGATGGCATACCAATCTGTGGCATCTTAAACATTCCCTTTTCTCCTTTGAGCTCTACATCGGGACCTTCAATCTGTCCCTCAGGCAGAGAAACCTCAACATTTGGCATTTTATATTGAGGTAATTTGATTTTGTCTTCAGACGTGCCCTCTATCTGAACATTTGGACCTTCAACTTTTCCTTTAGAGAGTGAAACATCAACAGACGGCATGCTGATTTGTGGCATCTTGAATTTTCCCCCTTCTCCTTTGATTTCCACATCTGCACCTTCAATTTTTCCCTTGGGGAGAGAGATATCAACATGTGGCATCTTTATGTGAGGCATTTTGATTTTGCCTCTTTCTCCATCCATTTCAGGTGCCTTATTCCCTTGGAGTTTACCCTTTGGAAGAGAGATGTCAACCCCGGGCATTTTAAACTTTTGCTCTGTAGTCCCCTCCATTTCAATTTCAGGGGCTTCCAATTTTGCTTTTAGCAGTGAAATATCAGCCTTTGGTACAGTTATATCAACAGTGGGCATTTTGACATAAGGCATTTTAAACTTCCCTCCATCACCCTCTATTTCAGCTTTAGCTATATTGAGATCTTTAGATTTTCCTTTAGGAAGACTCACATCTAATGTTGGCATTGTTACTTGAGGCATTTTGAATTTTCCGTCACCTTTAAGTTCCATTTTTGGTCCTTCAATCTCTTGGGATTGACCTTTTGGGAGAGACACATCAAAGTCTACTTTGGGAATAGAAACATCATTCTTAGGCATTTTGGGAATTTTAAGATTTCCTTCGTAACCTTTAATATCTGCTTCTGAAACATCAACTTCTGTTTTAGGGAGAAGAACCTCCATCTCTGGTGTTTTAGCTTCTGGGAGTGACAGCTCAACGGAAGGCATTTTCACTTTGCCCTGGGCTTGAAGTTCACCACTTAGTTTACCTAAATCTTTTTCCTTGGAGCCAAATCCTGGGATTGAGAACTTTGGTAACTTGAGAGTGACATCAGGTGCATGAAAGCCACTCTTTCTATCCACTTCAGCTTCCCCTTTAGCATCAACCTCTCCTTCTGGAAGTTGAATCTTTGGAGATGACATTTTGAACTTTGGAAACTTTACTTTATGTTTTGCCTTGTCTGGGCTCTCAGTCCTGAAATCCAGGTTAGGAAGGTCCGCTTTTCCTTTTTTCAGCTTAACATCAGCATCGGGACAAGACACTGATACATCTGAATCTTTTTTAGATATTCCAAATGATGGTATTTTTATTTTTGTTTTCTTTATTTTGACTTTTCCATCTCCATCAAATTCCACTGATGGTGCCCTCATCTCTCCTTCGACATTTGGCGGATGGAGGGAAATATCTCCCTTGAGTCCGGATGCCTCCAAATCACCACTCTTTGACTTTACACCAAACCGGGGGAAAGTGAAACTAGGCACTTTGAGGGAGACATCAGGCAAATCAAAGCTACCACCAGAAGAAGGTCTTCCTCCCTCTGCTTTCAAAAGTTCAACTTCAACATCATCACCTTTAGGTTTTTTAAGGCCAAAGTCTAGATCCACTTTTGGAGCTGAGATGTCAACTGTTGGTAGCTTGACTGAGGGAAGTTTCAGTGATGCACCTGGACCTTCTACAGCTTCAGTCTTAACCTTCAATTGGGCTGGTTTGAGATCACCTTTCAGACCCGACATCTCCAAATCTCCAGATACATCAGATCCACTGATGTTGACTTTAAGGCCTTTATCCTTTGACCCAGATGGAAGGCTTAGGTCCAGATCAAACTTGGGCATATTTATGTCAAGAGTTGGCATGTGGAACTTTCCACCAGTTCCTCCTTTTACATCTGCACCCTTGATATCAACATCGATTTCAGGACCTTTTATGTTGGCTTGCGGTTCCTTTGCTTTCATGTCAGGAAGATGCACAGAAGGTATATGAAACTTGCCTCCTTTCTTACCATAACCATCAGTGTCAATTTCCCCATCAACCTTTGCTTTTGGAAGAGATAAATCAATGTCTGGCATCTCAATGTTTCCTGCCTTGATGTCCGGGCCTTTAATTTTAACATTTCCTTCAGGAAGGCTCACCTTCGGTAAAGACACATCAATTTTTGGCATTTTAAACTTCCCCCTCTTACCTTCAACACCCTCAAACTCATAGTCACCATCAACTTTTCCTTTGGGGAGTGAAATATCAACAACTGGTAAGTTAATTTTTCCTCCTTCAACCTCTGGGCTTTTGAGGTCGACATCTACTTTTGGAGATTTGATTTTAGGAAACGATAAATCACCCTTGATTTTAGGCCCTTGAATATCAACTTCTCCCTTTCCTTTGATTTTAGGAAGCGACAGATCAACCGAGGGAATGTGAAACTTGCTGCTTGTACCTGTATTGACATTCATTTCTACATCTGTCTTTGCTTTTGGAAGTGAAATATCAGCAGCTGGTACTTCAATTTCTCCTTTTATGTCTGGCCCTTCACCACTGGCATCAGCCTTGGGGAGAATAACCTTCGGTAAAGAAATATCAAATTTCGGTAATTTAAACTTCCCTCCAGTCATCTCAGGGGGCTCGACATTAAGGTCAATATCAGTCTTTCCTTTAGGGAGGGAAACATCAATGCCAGGCATTTTGATTTTTCCTCCTTCAATTTCAGGACCGTCTACATTTACATTAGGTCCCTTAGCTTTTATTTTAGGAAGAGTAATGTCAATTGAAGGCATGTGAAACTTGTCTTCTTTGTTGGAAAGCAATCCAGTTTCAATTTCTCCTCCTGCTTTACCCCCTGGGAGTGATATGTCAACATCTGGCATGCCAATATTTCCTCCCTTCATTTCAGGACCTTTCATTTTCAGCTCACCTTCTGGAAGTTTGACTTTGGGCAACGAGACATCAAATGTGGGCATTTTAAGTTTACTACCTTTAACTTTAGGTCCTTCAACATTTAAATCACCTTCAAATTGTCCACCTTGAAGTGATATGTCACCTTTGGGTTTGGGTACTCCAATATCCATATCAATTCCTTTTGTTTTTATTTTAGGAAGAGAGATATCTATTGAGGGCAGTTGAAACTTGCCTTTTTTGTCACTTTGTCCCTGAATATCTATATCCCCCTCAACTTTTCCTGTTGAAGTTGAGATATCAGCAGCTGAGATTTCATGTTTTCCCTTGACATCAGGTCCTTTGACTTTGACAGCACCCTCTGGTAGACTAAATTTTGGAAGAGAAATATCAACTTTGGGCAGATTTACTTTTCCCCCTTTTAATTCCGGACCTCCAACGCTGGGGTCAACATCAATATTTTCTTTTGGAAGTGAAATGTTAGCTTCAGGTATGTTGAATTTTCCACCCTTAAATTCTGGACCATCAACATTTATCTCAGTTCCTTTGGTTTTCATTTTAGGAATAGAGATGTCAATATTTGGCATGTGAAATTTGCCTCCCTTTCCAGCATGTCCTTCAGTTGCAATCTCTCCTTTTCCTTTTCCTTTTCCTTTGGGAAGTGACAAATCAATGTCTGGCAACTCAATTTTTCCTGTTTTGAACTCTGGGCCTTTTATCTTCAAATTACCCTCAGAAAGATCAACCTCTGGTAAACACATGTCCATTTTTGGCATTTTAGGAAATTTACACACCTTCATCTCAGGGCCCTCAACTTCTCTGCCACCTTCAAGTTTCCCTTTGGGCCATGAGATGTCTGGGGTTGGTTGAACTATCTTTCCTACTTCAGCTTCTGGGCCTCTAAGACTGATATCTACTTCTGGACACTTCACCTTAGGCAGAGACAACTCACCCTTAATGTCAGGTTTTTCAATCTCAATGTCAGCTCCCTTTGCTTTGAACCGGGGGAGAGAGAAATCCACTGTGGGCATATGAAATTTGCCCCCTTTACCACTTTCAACATTTACATCTACATCTGCTTTTGGTAATGAAATATCAGTGGTCGGCTTCTCAATTTTCCCTTGCATATCTGCTCCTTCAACATTGATGTCAACCTTTGGGACGGAAATATTTGGAAGAGAAACATCAAATTTTGGAATCTTAAACTTTCCTCCTTTCACTTCAGTTCCTTCTGCCTTGACCTTACCTTCTATTTTACCTTTGGGAAGTGAAACATCCACATTTGGTAGATCAACCTTTCCTCCTTCAATGTCAGGGCCTTTGATGGCAATATCTATGTCTGAAGACTTGATTGTAGGGAGTGATACATCACCCTTGATTTTAGGTCCTTGAATATCAACATTGGCTTCCCTTCCTTTGATTGTAGGAAACGCGATATCAACCGAGGGCAAGTGAAACTTGCTTTTACCACTGCCTACGTCAACTTCTACGTCTGTTTTTGGTTTGGGCAGTGAAATATCAGCAGATGGTACTTCCATTTCTCCTTTTATGTCTGGGCCTTCAACACTGACATCAGTCTTTGGGAGAGTAACCTTTGGTAAGGAGATATCAAATTTTGGTAATTTAAACTTCCCACCCTTCATCTCAGGGCCCTCAACATCAAAGTCACCATCAACCTTTCCTTTAGGGAGGGAGACATTAACTGCAGGTATTTTGATTTTTCCTCCCTTAACATCAGGGGCCTTGAGACTAGCATCTATAGCAGGACACTGTGTTTTGGGAAGTGAAATATCAAGAGATGGTAAATTTATCTTCCCACCTTCAATTTCAGGACCCTCAAAATTGATCTCTGGTCCCTTAGCTTTTGGAAGTGAAATATCACCAGCTGTCATTTTTGTTTTTCCTTTAATCTCTGGACCTTCAATGTTGGAATCAACCTTTGGAAGCGTAATCTTTGGTAAAGAAACGTCAAATTTTGGCATCTTGAACTTTCCTCCTTTTATGTCCATTCCTTCAGTGTTAACATCACCATCCACTTTAAATGATGATGGTGAAATAGCAACATTGACATCCGGACCCTGAAGACCAACATTTAATTCAGGAGACTTCAGTTTAGGTGCAGAAACATCCACCGAAGGCAAATTTACCTTTCCACCTTGAACTTCACCACTCAGCTCTGGTCCTTTACCTTTTATTTTAGGAAGAGAAATGTCAACAGAGGGCATTTGGAATTTGCTGCCTTTACTAGCATGTCCTTCGGCTTCAATTTCCCCTTCTGCTTTTCCTTTTGGGAGTGATATATCAAGGTGTGGCATCTCAAGCTTCTCTCCTTTGATATTTGGGTCTTTCATTCTGATATCACCCTCTGGAAGACTTACTTTGGGCAAGGAGACATCAAATGTAGGCATTTTAAACTTTCCACCTTTTATCTCTGAACTTTGAACATCAAAGTCAATTTTTTCTTTGGGAAATGAGATGTCCACAGTTGGCAAGTTAAATCCTCCTTTTACATCAGGGCCTTTGAGGCTGAGATCACCCTCTACTTTGCCTTTTGGTAGAGTGATGTCGCCTTTTGGTTCTGGACATTCCATGTCAATGTCAGCTCCTTTTGCTTTTATTTTAGGGAGAGAAACATCAAGAGAAGGCAGCTGAAACCTGGCCTCTTTGTCCATGTGACCATCAATATCAACTTCTCCTTTTACTTTTGGTAGAGAAATATCAACATGGCCCTCTGGAAGGTTTGTCTTTGGAAGGGAAATATCAAATTTGGGTATTTTGAATTTCCCTCCTTTTCCTTCAGTACTTTCAATATTGAGGTCGATATCAGCTTTTCCTTTTGGAAGAGAAATGTCAATGTCAGGCATGTTGATGTCTCTTTGTTTAAGTTCAGGCCCTTCTATATTGACGTTTGGTCCTTTAGCTTTTATCTTTGGTAGAGAAAAATCAACTGAGGGTATGTGAAACTTCCCGCCTTTCCAGCCGTGCCCATCAGTTTCTACATCTGATTTTCCTTTAGGCAGCGAAATATCAATGTCTGGCATCTCAATCTTTTTGCCCTTGAAGTCAGGACCCTTTACTTTGACTTCACCTTCAGGAAAGTTTACCTTTGGCATTGAAATGTCAAATGTTGGCATTTTTGTCTTTCCTCCTTTTATTTCAGCGTCTTTAACATCAATCTCAAAATCAGCTTTCGGTTTTGGAAATGAAATGTCAACATCTGGACCCTGGAGGTTGACGTCTACCTCTGGAGATTTTATTTTAGGTGCTGAAATATCCATTGATGGCACATCAAGTGTTTTTCCTTCACCTTTAAGCCCTTTAACATCAATACCAACTTCCCCAGATTTTATCTTTGGAAGGTTAATGTTCAACGAAGGCATGTGAAATTTGGCTCCTTTAGCTCCATGACCGTCAATGTCAAGATCTCTTTCTATTGTTGCTTCTGGAGGTGAAATAGCAACAGCTGGCATTTCAATCTTTCCTTTAATGTCTGGTCCTTGCACTTTGACATCTCCCTCTGGTATGTTCAATTTTGGAGCTGAAACTTTAAATTTGGGCATTGTGAGTTTTCCTGCTTTTTCCTCCGGTCCTTTAATATTTACACCAAATTTGCCTTTTCCTTTAGGAAGTTTCGTATCATCAGAAAGTATTTCAAAGTTTCCATCTACTCCAGAGTGGATGTCAATATCAATGTTTCCATGTTTTTTCCCTCTAGGCAATGAGAAATCAATTCTGGGCATTTCAAATTTGTCACCCTTGACTTTTGGACCTTGAAAGTTTACATATCCTTCTGGAAATTTAACAGTGGGTAAGTCAATGTCTACAGATGGCACATTGAATCCAGCCATTTTACCTTGATCATCAAAATCAATGTCAGCTTCCAATGCTCCTTGTGGTGGGGAGATGTCAATAGTTGGTGCTTTTACTTCTCCACTTATTATTTCTGGCCCTGCGATGTTGATTTCACCTCGTTTTGATTTTATTTTAGGTAGGGAAACTGAGGGTAAATGAAATCGCCCTCCTTTAGTTTTGGTTCCTATGTCCACATCTAATTTTCCTTTTGGAAGTGAGATGTCAACAGTCTTTCCTCCAATTTCAATGTTTTCCTCGGGCATCTTCACTTTAGGAAGGGACACATCAAGTGAAGGCATCTTTAACTTCCCTCCTTTTCCTTCAACAGTTATCTTCCCCTCTACTTTTTCTTTTGGAAGAGAAATATCTTTTGCAGGCAAATTCATTTTTTCTTCTTTGATCCCGGTTCCTTTCAAATTGACATTAGCTGTAGGTGATTTGATGTGAAATTCAGGACCTTCCATGGGGATGTCAGTTCCCCCTTCAGGTGGTTTTATTGTAGGGAGCGAAATGTCAAGAGATGGCATGTTGAATTTTGCTCCTCCTTTGATGGCAGGTTCTTTAACATCTAGTTCTCTGTCTTCAGTTTTTCCCTTAGGCAATGAGATGTCAAATGTTGGCATATTAAATTTGGCCCCGCCTTTTCCCTCCAGATCCACACTGCCTGGTTCCCTTGATGTCGGAAGAGAGAGGTCGATCTGTGGAAGATCAGGAGCTTCTAGTTTCACATTTCCTTCAGGAAGTTTCATTTTAGGGAGAGAAATGTTTACAGAAGGCATGCTGAACTTGCCTCCCTCGACTTTTCCTTCAATCTCACCCCTGGGTTTAGGTACAGAAACATCTGCTGATGTTTCAACGTCAACCTCAGCCCCAGCTGTTGCCATTTTTGGGAGTTTGATGTCTCCTTTTATTTCTCCTTTAGGCAATGAAATACCAGGCATTTCAAATTTGCCACCTTTCACTTTTTGGCCTTCAGTGCCAACTTCCACCTTGCCTGCCTTCAGGTTAGGCAGCGAGACATCAACAGATGGCAGCTGAAATTTTCCCTTTCCTTCCCTGTCAGCTTCTCCTGCGTTGCTTTTTGGGAGAGCTAAATCTACTTTGGGCAATTTGAATCCCACTTCCACGTCTCCTTCTCCATCTGGTGAATTCATTTTAGGAAGAGTCACGTCAAAATCAGGTAGTCTGAACTTTCCGTCACCACCAACGTAATAGTCCATGTCCACATCCGCGCTGTCTGATTTCATCTTTGGAAAAGAGACATCAACAGAAGGTGGGTTGAACTTTCCTCCACCTCCTGGCCCTTTAATATTGACACCAGGAGCTTCCATCTTTGGTAAGGAGACGTCAACCTTTGGCAGAGAGATTTTGGGCCCTTTCACAGTTCCTTCCACTTCATCGGGAATTCTCTGACCTGAATCAAAGTCCAGGCCAACATCGGGTGCAGAGATATTGATAGCAGGCACGTTGATCTCTGACTTCCCTGCTCCTTCAACCCCTTGGACTGAATAACTTGTGCCAGACTTTCCCTTTACCTTTGGCAAAGAAATATCAACTGAGGGCATTTGAACTGAGGCAGCTTTTCCTGATACGTCTCCTTTAATTTTTGGTTTGGTGACCTCCACTTTAGGAACAATAAATTCTCCATCACCTCTAATTTCAGCTGTTGGAGTTGTGATGTCAGCATGAGGTACTTTCATTCCCTCCGCTTTCACCTTGGTTTCACCGTCAATCTTGTGCCAGTCCGAGTGGCGTGAGAGTCTGATTTTGGGTAGTTTCAACTTTGGTATTCTGAGTTTTGCATCTTCTTTGCCGACATCAGCTTCTCCTCTGACGTCTACTTTAGGAGCCTTGATTTCCGCGCGTCCCGTCACGCTGGGCACAGATGCCTCAGCTTTTCCTGAGGGGAGGGCAAACTCCACATCTGGGGGGCTAAACTTTGAGCCTCTCTTCTCCACGTTTTTGTCTTTTTTGCCAGACAAACCGGCCTCCATGGACGGCGGCTGGACGCTCATCTCTGGAGGCCTGAGCTCCACGTTTCCTGTGGAAGAACCCGACTTTGCGTGTTTCGTCTTGGGAAATACGATCCCAAACTTATGTCCCTTTCCTTTGGCTTTCACGTTAGCTCCAGGTATTTCAGACGAAGGGACACGCTCATGTCCCTCAAGTTCCAGTTTTCCTCCCGCACCACTGCGTCCCTTCGCTTTCATATGGGGGAACCTGAAAACACACCCACAGTCCAAACTGTAAGCAGAAACCCGGATATGAATTTAACATCCAACCACAACAGTATTTGTTGGAGTCAAACTAACCCGATCCTCCTTTTTGCCTTTGCAAAGCTTCCTGTTCCTCTGACCTCTACGTCACTTTTCCTCTGGTTGAACTTAGGAAGTGAAAACTCCACGTCAACTTCAGCGGGTGGAGGCGTTCCCTCGATCACCAGCTCCTCCTTACGCTTCTCTTTCAGCCTCTTCAGACCAAAACGACCCCCTCTTTTCTTCTGGATCTTGAACGGCTTCATGCCTTTCACACTCTAGATCAGAAAAGCAAATTTTCTGAATGTGGCATTTTAGCATATAAACACAGTTTGAACAAGTTTCAAACAACTTTTTTTTGCTGAACCTATCTAAAAGGATATTTTTGTTGGATTGTTTTGGAACGATATTGTAGTTATAGTGGAGTTATTTCTGAAAACGCAGCCTGTTGAATGTGACACGGAGCCAATCAGAAAGCGAGGAGATGCAAACATGGAGGGGGATCTAAAACAACTGGAACGGTTCAAGTAAAAGTCAGGAGCAGTAGAGAGAGAACATTTAGTTATTTCTCTCCAAGTTTGGTTCGAAAACAGAACTATTAGGTCAACCCGTTACTCCTTACCATTTTAGCCATCTTGGCCTTGGGACCTTTGACCTCCAGGCTGGGAACTCTTGGCCGGACGCTGATGTCAGCTTTAGGAACGGTCCTCTTGACCTGGAAGCTGACCTTATATGGCTCTGCACACTGAAGGATCTTCAGCGCGTCCTCATAGCGCACGTTGTCAAAGTAGACCTTCGCACTCAGCAGCTGGTCACCTTCAGAGAGGAGATAATAAATCAATCAGTACATCAGAAAATACCAAAGTATTATAAAACCAACCTTTATTTTGACACAGGCATGAGGAAAATGAAGACAAGGAGTCAGTTTCTGAAGATAATTGAATTGATAACTCACTTGCAGCCTGTAAATTTGAATTCAAATTTCATTTGAGAAGTTAATCGGTGCTGTAGGTTAAAGTTCAGGGGTGTCCAAACTTTTTGTTTGTAAAAAAAACAAAAACAAAAAAAAAAACCTAAAATCAGGCAGCTAAAGTAGGCCAATGTTTATATTACATACAAAACACGAGAGGGATTTTTACGACGGAGTATTCGGGTCTTTGTTGATAGGAAAAAGGAGAAAATTTCTAACAAAAACTCAGAAATCTTGTGATTAATCTCAGAAATTTTCTAGAAAACTTGAGAGTTTTCAAAAGAAAACATGTTGACGTTTGAAATTCAGAAATTTCCAGTAAATTTCTGAGATTGCTCTCAACATTTTTGGCATAATCTCACAAACTAATCACACGAATGAGCTACTGGTCGCAAAGCATTCCCTGTGAATCAGCAAAAATTCACCAGTTTTGGTGCAGAATTTGACATAAATCTGAAGTTATGTTCAGTTAAGATGCATTTTAACTAGTTTTCCTGTTGTTATACAAACCAGTGTTTCAGTTATGAGCTGTGTGATAATCTTGTGTGATTTTATTTCCTGTACTAAAACACATTCATTGTTATTTATGTTAAAGATGGGATTATTTATGTGGATTAATGACATGAATTTATGTTAAATACCACTGCACAATATTTTTCCGTTGCTGTCTGTAACTGAAGCTGCTGGACTGAAGTTAGCCAGCAGCTTTATTTCCTTTTTTGTTAGAATAAATACAGTAAATCTGAATCAACCTATTGGACCTGAAGGGTTACAAACACGCCTCACAGTCCGGATCGCTTTATATATAAAAAAAGATTGAAAATAGACTATTCATCGAGGGCGTGCCTTATAATCCGGTGCTCCCTGTAGTGCGGGGAAAATGGTACCTTGCTGCAGACTCAGGTGTTTCGCAGCCGGAGAGTCTTTGAGGACGTCTTTGACGAAGATGCCGTGCTGTCCTCCACCCGTCACGCTGTAGCCGCTGGCTCCGGCCTCCGCCTCCGTCTCCACCACGATCTCCACAGCCTTGGAGATTTCCTCCACACTCTGACAAACACAGGAAAAACAAATCCTCACGTCCAGATACGCTGCAGATGTTTTTATGTGGGTTTGGTGTTGCAGGGTTTCCACCAGACCGAGCACGGTTTATTTTTAATATTTGCTGTTTTTAAAGACTTTATTGCTGGTGTTTTTGGATTGTTAATGTTTTCCAAGAACACATTTACAATGACAGTCATATTTTCACATTTCTGCCTATTTTAAACTTTTTTTAAACTCAAAAACACAGACCTATAACTGGATGATTGTTGAAAACCCATTTATGAATCAAAATGTGTGATTAATGTTGCCCTGCTTACTGTCTGTTCCTCTGCAGACTCTGAATCCATCTCTGCTTCAGCCAGTTTGCAGGTCGACTCTCGTAAGTTACTTCTTTTCTGACTCAACACCTGCTTCAGCTCTGCATGTAGTTTCTCCTTCTGCACCTGCAGACAGAAAATAAAAATCACACTTTATGGTCGACTGAACGTAGCATTTATCTTAGGCGATCAATAATGTGAAAGTAATGGCTTCGTCAAAGGAAAACTGGCACAAATTTAAGAAAAACTGCAGTTTTCAGAAAGTTTGTTCCAGATTTGTGGTGCATAGAAGCTAAATGCTGCTTCTCCATGTTTGGTTCCGGTTCTGGGTGCAGACCAGAACCAGAAGCAGAAAACTTGAGAGGTCTGGAAGGTTGATACAACACCAGCAGATCTTTTATGCCTTTAAACCATTCAGTGACATATAAACTAACAACAGTATTTTAAAGTTCATTCTCTCAGTGTAGAACTGGGTTTATGTGCTCCATCTTCCTGGTTTTAGTCAGATTACCAGCAGCAGATTCTTCAGGTGACAGAAGGTCGACTTTATAACTGTCTTTATGTAGCTCTGAATGTTCAGACCCAGATTTCAGGCTGATCTCTAGTTTCCTGCTGTAATAACTGAAGCTTAGTCATTTTCAGGTACTTTACTCACATCCGTCTGGGCTTAGGAACCTTGAATCTGTTCGTTTGTTCGTAAGAGTGGTGTAATGTGTCTCACCACTCTCTCTGGACTCTCCTGGTCGTCCGCGGTGCCGCTGTGGTGAGGGTTGCGCTGCGAGGCCGATGGCGATCTGTTGGAGGGGGGAGACCGACGCTTGTCTTTCACCTATATGCAGAAATCCATCAATCAATCAATCAAGTTTATTTGTATAGAAAATTTCAGCAGCACGACCGTTCAAAGTGCTTCACATCATGAAAAAAAAACATCAGATAATAACAGAAATCATATTTTGTTAGCGCCATCGTTAAAATGATCAATAAACACCAAATATGTTGGTGAATTTTCCATTTATTATTAATCAAATTAAACTCTAACCAGATGAACTCAATGTTTCAGCAGTTTTCTGTAGTTTACTCCAGATTTATGGCACATATATGCTTCTATAGAGCTGAATGCTTCTCCTCCATACTTGGTTCTGGTTCTGGGGGTGAAGAGCAGGCCAGAACCAGAACCAGAACCAGAACCAGAAGAGTCTCCAATCTTTGGAAACTCAAACATTCTTGGTGTGATTGAAATGAAAATCCAATCACAATGTCTCACCTGTACAGATCAATAAAATCAATAAAACGTCAACCTGTTGATTAAATGTAGATTGAAGAGTTCTGAAAATAAAACTATAAACTCCTGCTCTGGTTCCACTGGGTTTGCTGCCTTTCGGCTGAGCGGGATTCGGATCGCTTCACCTCTTCCTCCCGTTCTGGAGGAAGCGTGTCATGACCCCGTCTGCCATATCTCCTTCCACTTTTTGTCTCATGAACTCGTACACAGTAAATCCTGTGAAAACATTGCGTCGCGACACGTTGCTGGTGTGACCGGCAACGCGGCAGCGGGTTTCCTGTCCTAAAATAGTGATCCTGTTAGAATTACTCCTGCATGAGACGCAGAGTTCAGCCCAGTTTCATCCACTTTGATTTTCTTTCTTTTTCTATAACTGCTTATTTGTTGACGCCACTCTTCAACATGCAAGAGAAAAACAAAAAGCTAACCTCGTGTGTGTTCACCTAATTCAAACAACAGCTACATTTTCTAGACCAAAATTGGCACAAAATTTCAATAACTAGATGATTAGAATGAGGTAATTTGCTAAGTGCCAGCTGCTAGCTGTAGTGGCTAAGCTAATTAGCTAATCTGCTAATTTTCCATTTAGCTCTGTTGCTTTTTTGCTAACTTGAAAATGTTTAGGACATGAACCTTCCCCTTAAAAATCACCCAAGTAGATGTAAGTAGAGTGGGGCAGTAACTAGTTACATTAACTGGAGTAACTTTTAAAAAAATGTACTTTTAAGACTATTTTACGCTGTATTTTAAGAAGAAATTAAGTATTTCTACTTTGGGGTAAAATTTCTGGATTTTCTTCCCTCTGAATGAAAAACAAACAAATTTTAACCAAAAGTTCACCAGATCCAGAAACACACCTGCAGTTTCTGTTAAAGTTTCTTCAGTTTTTTAATTTCATAAACAGATTTGGAAACATTTCATTTAGCCTGATTTTGTTACTTATATAAATTATTGTCATTTTCATCCTTAAAATACCAAAATTTGCATTTAACCTTCCATCTAATCTGTCTGATGATGTAATTTTTTTAATATTAAATGACAGATAATTTGACCAGTTACTCAGTTCTTGAGTAGACGTTTTACTTTTAGGTGAGTAAAAATGTGATCCGATCCACTTCACCTTCAAACATTTCCAAAGCAGATCTAAATTAAACTCCACCAGTTTGTCCTGGACTGCACACAAGAACCAACCTTTCTGATTAAAAATGTCTCCAAAACATCAATACTTGAGTCCAGATATTGTGAGTCAATGTGTTTGTTTACTCACGGCTTGATTTCTGGCCTGGCTGTAAACATGGCTGTCCTCTTGGTCAATGTCAGAGTCTGAAACATAAAATAAAACGTCAGAAAAACTCGAGAGGAGTAAATAATTATGACCTAATAAAACAGTTTAGCAGTAATTGGCTCCCAGCAGAACTCTGAAGACTGTGGTGTTCATGTCAGGCTAAGCATGTGAAGCTAAAGGGTCTGATATAGAAGCAAGGCCAGCAGCTTCAAGCTTCTGGCGGTCTTTACATTCTTTCCGTAGCGTCGGTCATTCCTCTGAGTCGGCTACATGAGCCTGAGCCGTTTACACAACTCCTCCAACAAGCTAACGCAGCTCACATAAAGTCTGGCTGATAAGAAACAGAGCAAACAACCAATGGGGAACGGCGACCTGCTCATAAAAAATTATCATTTGGACATGTGGGCAAACAATAAGGCGTGATAAACAAAGCCACTGCAGATAAAAACTGCAAAAATTTGTCTCACCAAGAGAAAATTCTTACTGAGTCCAAGTTTTTTTTACTTAAAAAAGTGAAGAGAATAATTTAATTTCTATATCTGCATATCAGACAATTCATTGCATTACTTTAATGCAATTAATCACCTTTTCTTTCAGTTCTAGCAAAGCGGAACCTTTGCATCCACACGTTTCTAGTGCAGCCGTAACTTGGACGCACAAGCTTCTTCCGCTAACAGCGAAGAGCAACCAAGCCGCTCCACTCGGCTCTCAAAAACGTTCTGCCTGGACGATTGTTGTGCTCAAGTTGTGCTAAAAGAAGTTAGCCTATAATAGCATCTCAATGCTAAACATGTGGCACTTGCATAGATGCTAATGCTAATGTTAGCGTCCACAGTCCATACATCTAATTAAGTTTAATTTCCACCTGAAAGCTAAATTAGTATAACAAAACCTTGCACCAATTTGATGGTTAAATAATCCAAATAACAGAACAATAAATATTTTTGATTAGCTCATGTTTATTTACTCAATAATTTAGCAGCAAAATGGATTTAGAATTGAAAATATTGCTTTTTTGTGCATTGTGTATGGAAATATTTGGACAATTTAGCTCTGAAAAACAAAACTTCAAAAGGAAAAGTGTTTTTTTTTCTGATCCTTAAACAAAATCATTATAAAATCGGGTTTGATGTAAATATTAGAAAGTTATGAAGAGGTTTAGCTGATGTCTGAAATTTTTAACTTTGGAAATTTCCCAATTTTTTGAGAAAATTTTTTAGATTAATCTACATTTTTTAAAGCAAATTTGGAGCTTTTGGAGCTCAGACATTTCTATGTTTCTTCTAGAAAATTTGTGAGAAAAATCTTTTTTCTTGCAAATTCTCAGAGATTCTGAGGTCAGAGATTTGCACAAAATTTACCCATTTTTTATGAACCATGGCATTAAAACACCATCATAGTTCATAGAAATCTCACAATTTCAGTTTTATCACAAATATTTGACTTTTTTGACTCATAAATTGTCCTGTTCCTTCTAGAAAATGTCTAAGATTCAGCTCAAGATTTCTGAGTTTATCTCACAACTTTCCAATTTTTCAGTATCAGAAAATGTTCATGTTTTTTCTCTAAATTTTCTGGGATTCATCTCAAGATTTCTCAGATTTTTGGAGAAAATGTTCTCGTGTTTTGGCTCTGATATGCTGTCGTAGTTGCAGCTCATGCACTGCATACATCTCATTCTTCAGAGTCCTGTCTTCTTCATGTGATCTCTTTTTTAACTGCCTTAGCTCTGCTATGTGTGTGAAGAGGAAAACCGATCCGAGTGTGTAAATTTGTGCGTATATTCCAGCGTGGTGTATCAGCTGGAGATACCAGGAGTCCAACACTTAAAAAAAAAAACAACGCATCACATTTACTGCAGCCGTCAATGCAAAACAGTAAATTTATCTTAAAGAATGAAGCAAAGGAACAAAAAATATTAACGTTTCTCAGAAAAAGAGTGGAAACAATAAAGTTGAGATGGGAGATTTATACATGTTTGCTGCTGATTTGCAGGCAGGACGGACAGCAGCAGGTGAAGGAGGCGGCGCCCCCTGGGTGCAGCTGAGGAACGGTGGAGCGGCGCAGGACGAGGCGATGATCTGAAATGCCTCACATCTCAATCTTATTATAGATCCGACTCACATCTGCAGGCCTGAACACACCCAGCAAATGCCAGAGAGAGCTTTGACCTCCGACCTCCTGCATATTTCATGCAGATGCAGCAGCCGTGACAATCTCTAATCAGCAGGAACTGCAGATATTTTCCACCTAAACTCACTTCAGTCATTAAAAGCAGGTTTCACTCAACAATTTCCTCATTTATTTCTCTGTCTTAAGATATTTACACGTCCACTGATTTGAAATAACTCATTTATTTTAGTTTGGCAGATTTTCTGTTTCTGCACTGATGGAGAAAATCTGTTGCAAATATTTATAGCTGCCTTTGTTAAGTGAAGCTTAAATTATGATGATGTGTCAGGGCCATTATAGATTTAAAAAAAGAGAAAACAAAATCTGAAAAAATATTAAAAATAAAATATTATATCAATAAAAAGTGGAACTTTTTGACATGTCCCAAATCTGCTGTAAAAAAAAAACAACTAAAGTTTTGATATAAAGATTATTCTGGAAAAGTTTTCTTCCACAGAAGTATTAAAAGTGGAAGATTTGCTAGAAATCAGTCATTTTCTTATTGATCTGAGATTTTTTTAGGAAAAAAGGGGAAATTTCTGAGTTTGAAAGGTTTGCAATTCGAACTAGAAAAACATTTACACCAAAATCCTGTTATAAATTGTTGAGAATGGTTTTAAAAATGAATATGGATCTTCTTCATCTTTCCTTCCTCACTTCTCCCACAGAAAACAGAAGAAAAACATTTGGAAAATAATCTGACATGTTGACGTTACCGCGACTATTTCTGCAGGCACATTTTCTTAAACTGAAATTTTTAGAGCAAAAAAGTGTAAAACCTTCTTATGAGTCACGCCGGCGGCTGCGACATGTCGCCGAAGCCCGGCTGCTTATGAAGTTGTGAACCTGAAGATAAGGAAGGCGAGGAGAGCTGGAGCCGCAGTTTGTCTAACTGCAGCAGGATTAACTCGTCTGCAGCAGGTTTGTTATTGCGGCTGCTTTTATTAGCAGAAAAGAGTTTAAAAAGCCCTGAAGCGACTCAGCCAGTTATTCCTCATAAAGTCTGAAAGAGGAAACATTTCCGTTTGTGTCAGCCTCCATCTTTCCCTCTGTGAGCTTTCAGTGTTTTAGAGGAAGGTTGTGAATGACAAATGACATTTAATGGATTTTGTTCAATCAGCTGATTTGATGTCTTCAGTTTGAATTTCTAAATGATATTTTCCTGTTTTACTTTGGTAAGCCATTCTGCTCTGTTCTTTTCACTTCCTGTTTGCAAACAGGAAGCTGAGAGAAACTTATGACAACGTGCAACATAATTTTGGTAAAAAATATTTTCTAAAAGAATTTCTGATTTTTCTTCAAAAAACTGAAAAAGAAAAGTTTGAAAACTCAAAAATTTGCTAAAAACATAATTTTTTAGCTTAAGAAATTTTGTAAAGAAAACCCCCCTAAATTTACAAAAATGAAAAATTTTGACTTTTGAAATTTGGAAAATTTTCAAACATTTTAAAGTTTTAAAATTTGAAAATTTCCCAAAAATATTTTTTTTTTACTTTTGAAACCAATTTTTAAAAAATGTTTTTGCAAAAGTCAATTTTTTTTTTCCTCTGAAACTTAGAAAAGTTTCAAACATAAAAGTCAAAAAGTTTAAATTATTAAACTTGAAAATTTTCCAAAAGTTGAAAAGCTTTGAATTTTGAAACTTGGACATTTTCCATTTTTATAGAACATTTTTGAGATTAAATAAAGTTTCTGGGTTTGTTTTTTTCTATCTACAATATCTCTATTCCATCATGTGTTTGCATTCCACGATTCATGTCTCTTATAATGTCCAAACAGATGCTCCCAAATTCACCCTGTCACTTCACGAGCCGTCTTCTCTGTTTGCCTGAGCAGAGGTCAAACCAGAGGTCATCTGAATAAAGGTCCTGACCCGTCTCTGAGGTTTCTCCAGGTCTGTGGACCCGGCAGAGACGCCTGGTTGGCTCAGCTCTGCCTGAACTGGAGCGACTGGAGCTGTCGGCCCAAAGAAAACAAGCCCCACGCTGAGCTTTAATCGGTTGATAATAACGCCTCCTCCAGCGCATGACAGACGGCTGAGGACATGTTTGGGATTTATTTGTAGAGCGAGGCATTATCAGCAGAAACCAGATAGCAAACACAAAAATGTTTTCTCCTCTCCCACGTGCGCAGGAGTTCACACTCAGGAAATACTGTTGAACTTTCTCACAATTGGTGGCAGTCTGGGCAGATAGCACAAAAAGTTGTTTAGTTTTTTTCTTTTGGATCTAATTTTAGGACAATCACACGACCGGAGGAGGGGAAGCTGTTTCTATTCCGGGCGCTACGCTAACTGTAAACACATCAGATGGCTGAATGCAGCTCTCCATGTTCCCAACACGTCTCAGAGGAATCATTTATCCGGTAACGTTATCTTTCAGACTCCTGAACTCAAAACTTAAGCTGAAGTCTCTAAAATATCAGAGAAGACTTGGTTTAAGTGAATAATTCCGTAATATTGACCAAAAAGTGACAGATTATTTCACTTTTGGGAAAAATGTAATCCAAAATGCTGAACAGATATTTGTAAGTTAATTTTGTGTTATTTCAACTTTAAGAAGATATTTTTGCAAGAAACAAGTTTGTTTTTGTCATTGTACTGAAATAATTTGTAGCATGAAAAACCCAACGTTTTGAAATCTCAGAAAAGTGACAGAAGGAAACCTTTTCCATTTTCATGAACAAAATCTGCATGCAGTATTTGGGTACAAAAAGACATTATTCATCCAAACACACAAAATCTTACCAACTATTTTTGATTTTCGGTCAGTTCTAGGAAAATAATATTTTTATACACTTAAAATAAAACACAACTCATTTGTCAGCAAAATACAGAAACTCATTTTAAGTCAATAATTCATAAATT